TCAAAAGCGCATCTTCCATTCGTACGCCAGCCATCCGCACCCGGCCGGAACTTCACCTGCAGTATCCCCGCCTGCTGTGTTACCCATCGTATGCCATCTGCCTCTTCTCCATTGGCTGAACCGTCCAACGTCCTTTTGTTCGCTCCGCGCCGGCCAGGAGCAACAACCGGGTGCCATGGCATCTGCTCATCTTCCCCTGTTATCAGAGTCCTCAAGCCATGTCCCTGGAGCGAGCCGCCCGAATTGCGGTGTGGGAGCTGTGGTCTATGCGCAAGACCTTCCGATGCGTTGCGCCTTTTGCCGTTTCCTGTCAAATATTACGCTGCAGCTTCGGAATAGCACACAGGCTGCCAGGCTCGGTTTCTGGCTGTGTTCGCCAAGCCGGATTTCCGCCTTACCTCCAGCCACGGCAGCCAGCTTGACAGCTAACTGGCACCCTTGTCCTTTGACAAATAACTGTGAGCACGCTCCTCGAGATTATCAGAGCAACTTTCTCTATCGGGGCTGTTTGACGTCTATCAAAGGAGGCCCTGGGGTCATAAGACCTTGTGATAATACATCCTGGCTGCTCGTCGTTTCTTTACATCTTCCACCTACTGCAACCATGAGTTGCGACGTTGTAACACCCATTTCACCTCGGCCAGCAAGGCAGGACGCTACGAACTCTCGGCTACAAAGCATCCGCCGTTCGTAAGAGTGGTCGTGGCCACCGAAAGGCCGGAACACATACCAACCCGGTTTCTCTGTACTAGATAAACGCATGGCCGAACACCAGACAGCAATTCTCTTACGAACATCAAAAACCCAACGACGCAACGAGTGCGTATGGACTGGCACCGAGATTATTATCGACGATCTCGCGACCTCCTGGCCACATTCAGTCCGCTTCCCGGCACCTGAGCCAAAGCCGGTAGATGATGCAGGCACACGTCGTAGACGCGAGGTGGATAATCAGGGGACCTTGTCCTAACAGCAGACAAGGTCTAGGGCACCCGGAGGTGATCCGGTTGCCGCGCTAGCACGGGCGTGGGCCCTCTCCATGATGTGCGCTCGCCTGGCTGTTCGTCTGAAGTGCGAGGTTCATCTCGGATAAAGAGGCAAGACAATGCCGTTCAATGTGTCTACAGGCTCAAAGTCTCCGGAGTTGTCAGAGTCTATACGCCTGATCTCTCATCTGAACCGCCGAGGTGTCCAGGAACAGAGCCGTGCAACCATTCAAACGAAACGGCATGGTCGCATCCAAAGTTAAGATCTAGTCGTGACGTCAAACAGCTCAGCCGAACAGAACCCTATGCATAGCCAGTGCTTATACTCACAGTCACAACCTTGGGTTTCAAGGGATGGAATAGCCCCACGTCGTAATCATTGCACTACAGATAGGTCCCTAATGGAACAGACTTGCCCTGGCTTTGAGTTGTTCTAGTGTAGAAAGCTTGATCCTTCCGTCTAGCATCCCTGCCCACCTCTCTTTAGCGGTAGTCAGTCTTCAAGACCAGATTGGCTTGGATGGCTTAAATGACAATGGGACCAACAGTCATCGGCGTCACCTCGGCTCCGGGCCATCGCATCTCAAGCATTTGGATATCCTCGGGGCTAGGAACGGTCTGCTGAATGCGCGTCATCCACAGGAATTCGCCATCGGAGTTTATTCGCAGATGCAGATCGCCGTTTGCCGAGCTGTCAAAAAAAGGACTCTAGCGGCAATGCCCGCGCGCATGGTAAACTTTTTTCTTTCCGCCGCGACAGGCCAACCAGATTTTCAGGATTGCCACCGCCGGCTCTTCAGATGGTCTCAATTCGAGATGGGCCAATCATCGAGGGAGACTTTGCTCTTTCCGGGCCAAATCCGGGCCAAATTCTGCATTCAAGGTTGTCTGGATGCCAGGACGACACTCGTTGACATCCCATGCACTGGTTCCTGCGACATTCATTGGACTTTCAAGAACCAGAGTGCATCGGTCTAAGCAGGGGCAAGAGGGCAAAGGTCAAGAAAAGAGCTGCGGCCCTCTGCTCGAGGCTTGTGTTGGCACGGGGCTGGAGATGACCGACCGATGTGAAAAGGCCGAGATGTGACTGGCTTGAGCATTCTGCAAGGTCTCGATGTTTGGACGAAAATCCGGGGTGCATTCTTACCAGTCACAATCATGCACCAGTTTCAGCCTGGCGGAGCAAGTGCAGAGCCCAAAGACACTTGCGCAACGAGGCAAACGTCACTGCTGCCCAGACGAGTCACGGCGCGGTTAAATGACACGGCATCCTCTGGTTTTTCTTTACTCAGGCAACTCGAATTGAGTTTGCTGTCCATCGGCTCTAGGGCAGCGCCGAGGGCCGGCAGACAAACCTGCCGCGGTGGCCAGAGGCAAAGGAGACGGAGCACAAGTCTACTGGCGTGGATCCAAGGGCAAGTTTTTTCACCCTCGTGCCAATGCCAAGCACGTAGTCGCTTTGCGATCAATGTGCGCATACAGACTCCAGACCTCCCGCCTGGGAACGTTACAGCCGGCTGGGAGGAATCATCAACACCAGGTCACAAGACCATCGGACGAGGCCGCAGCTCTGTTGCGTCGAATAGAACATCCTGGGGTAACCTGAAGCCCTGCTGCTGCCGCCAGTTGCCCCTGGTTCTAGACCCGACACAACGTGCAGCAACAGCAACAATATCACTCAGAGTCGCACTTTCAACCGCTTGCACGCCTTGGTTCCTTTCGAAGTATGCACAGCTCGGCCAGTCACAGAAAGGCCTTGCCAGCCTCGTTTTCTGCATCTCCGCCTTGCAATCTGGTTTCATCGTCAACCTCGCGAGCCCGAGAACAAAGACAGAGACGTTCGTCGTTGGAAAACGTCCACATCCACCCCGCGTGTTTGCCATGGCCTAGAGCCGGCGATTCGCAGATTGCGATCAAGTGACACGCGTAGCTTGAATGACACCACCAGCGACTTTGCCTATCCCAGACAGGGCGGAGCTTTGGGGTCCAGAGCAGAGGGACAGGGACCCAAAGACCCAGGGCGAGTGCTTGGGGCCGGGCTGGGAAGAGGGTGCTGTCGTGCCTGTCGGTTCAGCGGGTGCGTGGTGTTTTTGGCTGGATGTCGTTGTTTTCATTACGTTTTGGTTTGTCAATGACTGGCTCCCCGGCCCCCGCGGTTTCTTTAGACGTCCACACTCCCTGCTAGCCAACGCGCGATGCCTCTGGCCTCTCAACCGCTGCAAAACCTCCCGGCAACGGGCTCTCTATCCTTTCCCCTCTTTCTCTCACGGCCATGTGCCATTGTGTGTTCTGTAGGTATCCACTGCAGAAAATACAAATTGGGGGGAAAGAAAAAAAAAAGCCCACATGTTGTCCATGTCCAGGCTAAACATCACCGAGACCGTGCCCCTGGTGTGGGGAAAGCCACTTGAGCCAAGGCCCCAAAACCAAGAGGGAAAGAAAAAAATATTTCAGCGACCTTGTGATCACTTGTTGGCGCAACCTACGTCTGGCTGGAGGAGCAGGCCAAGGATGTGCTTACGCCGTACATGGGAAAGGTCGCGCAACATCTGCTTGCGGCCATGACCGAGATGCCAATGCCAATGCCAATGCCATCCTTGCCTCCGTCCTCCCACCACCACCACCAAACGAAGCTTAAACAAAGACCGAGTAAAACTGCCTACTGCTGTGCCTCCACGTTCCTATTTAAGTCCTTTGTCTCCCGTCCGTCGTCGCCGCCGGTACACTACCCACCTGTATTGCACTGTCACCAGAATTTGATTCCAGGAGTTCCAGTGTTTCTGCGTTCTCATCTTGCCATCAACTCTCGAACCACACCGCATCGATCGCCCTCTGTCCCGAGAAACGCTCCTCGCGTTCTTGTCATCCCTCGCCCCGGTCTTACTCCGACGAAGCCCGGCTCATCGACGACTCATACATACCTCCCCAAGCAAAAGACTCGCGCTTCGCAAAAGCGACCCGACAGACACCAAGCACCAAAACCAGACATTTCCTCGCGCATCCTCACAATGCTTGCCTCCCACGGCCGCGGCGGTGCCGGCAACATGGCCGACAGCACCAAGTCGCCCAAGGTCACCCCCAAGGACCTCGAGACCCCGACCCTCAAGACCTCCGTCGTCACCACCGGCCGCGGCGGCTCCGGCAACATGGCCAAGAACGCCGACCCCTACGAGACCCGTCTGCGCCAGGACGTCGAGGGGTGAGTCCCATCCGCCACTTTTGCCCGCAAGAAGCACCCTTGCGACTAACATGCTCCCCTCACAGCGTCCCCCGCCGAGAGAGCAACGGCGCAACCCACTACGGCCGTGGAGGCGCCGCCAACGTCTTCAAGACCGGCTCCGAGGAGGAGGCCGCCGCGAAGAAGGCCAAGGCCGAGGCGACGGCCGCCGTCGAGGACGACGAGTCTTCGCTGCGCAAGACGCCTTCGCCCACCGGCGGCCTCCGCAGCCCCGAGGACGGCAACGGCCTCGCCGCCAAGGGCAAGCAGTGGCTCAACAACCTGACCAAGAAGGCATAAGCGCTTTCTTCTCTATTTCTTTTCTTTCCATGCACAACTTTTCAAGCGATTATGATAATGACCAATTCGACTTATCCGCCCCTTCTGGGGACGTCGGGTCATGCACATTGGCGACGGAGTTTGGGGATTGGAAACAGGAAAGGACATCAAAGATGGTCTCCCTGGGGCGTTTGGAATGGGCAACGAAAAACGTTGAAATGACACAAAAAAAAGTTTACGATACCATATGCAGCTATTTGATGAAACCAAGGCACGGAAAGGAAAAGCAAATATTCATGTCGTCACTTCTCTCATTTAAAAGCATCACATGCTGTCCACATATTGCCCGGCAGCTCTTGGCTTGCAACAAATGATATTGAGATGCGATTTTTGGTCTATACCTATGCCGTCTCTAGTAAGACCAGTAGAGATGTGCCCCTCCCAGACGAACACCTTTTATACGCCCGTGACATCTCTCGAATAATGGTTCATGTGTTCTTCCGTACCCTAACACCTTTTTAGTTCTTCGTCAGACGGTGGATCTCAGACAAGTAGAATCTGAGGTCCTCGGGGTTGACACCCGGAGTGATGCCTGCCAAGGATTAGTTACGCTCGTTCTTCTTTTGCGACGCAATGCGTGTATCGACTCACCGTGTCCGAGGTTGGCAATCCACCCCTTCTTCTGGCCCCAGAAGCCATTGACCATTTCCTCGACCGCCTTGGTGATGTTCTCGTGGGTGCCGTAGAGGACGCCGGGGTCGGCGTTGCCCTGGAATGTGATGTGTCTGTCGCCACGAATCTTGACGGCGTCGGCAGGGCTCTGCATCCAGTCGAGACCGACGACGTCGTAGCCGATGTCGCAGACCGTGTTGAGGGCATGCCAGCAGCCCTTGGGGAAGACAGTCATGGGCACGCGCTCGAGGTTCATCTCCTGCAGCTTCTTGGGGAGGTTCGCGGAGATGTAGGAGAGGTAAGGCTTGCTGAACTCCTCAAAGGCAGCCGGGCCGAGCTCGCCAGCCCACGAGTCAAAGACCATGATGCTCTGGGACAGCTGTCAGTCACAAGGGAGACGTCGCAGTGCGGAAAGAAGACATGCCTGTGCTCCGGCCTTGACTTGCAGGGCGAGGTACTCAACGCAGACCTCGGCAATCTTCTGCAGCAGTTTCTTGGACTCCTCGGGGTATCTGTAGATCCACGTCTTGCTGTGGATGAAAAGCTTGGTGCCGCCACCCTCGACCATGTAGCAGAACAGCGTCCACGGGGCGCCGCAGAAGCCAATCAGGGGCACGCGGCCGGCGAGCTTCTTGCGCGTGAGGGTGATGGCCTTGTATACGTAGTCGAGCTCGGCGGCGACGTCGACGTTCTTGGCCATGACCTGCTCGTACTGGCCGTCCGTAGGGCTCTTCAGAGGGTCGGGGAAGTGCGGTCCCTTCTTGTCGACCATCTCTACGGTCATGCCGAGGGCCTGGGGAACGACGAGGATATCGCTGAAGATGATGGCAGCGTCGAGGAGACCGGCGAAGCGCTCGATGGGCTGCAGGGTCAATGTGCTGGCAATCTCGGGATCGCGGCAGCAGGCGAAGAAGTCGCGGTTGCCCTTGGCCTCGTGGTACTCGGGGAGATAACGACCGGCTGTCTGGAGTAAGCTGCTGTCTTTTCTTCGTTGTCTACGGTGCTGGTCCGAGGGGTCCTTACCTTGCCGCATGATCCAGCATGGCGGGCGCTCGACCGTCTCGCCTGCATCGTCATGTTAGTCTGCGTCTCAATTGCAGCGATTGAAAGCTTGTGCTTACCGCGCGCTGCCCGCAGCAGCAGGTCGTTCTTCAATGGCTCAAATGTCAACTCCATCTTGTCTGGTCGGCCGGCGTCTGTGATGTCTGGATGTGCCGGTGTAGATCCTCTCTAGATGCAAGATGCCCCGCGTAATCCGCGACCGCTGAAAACCCCGCCAAAGCTTCCCCCCTGTCCTGTCCAGTCGCAGGGCGTCCCGTCGCCGAGGTAGCCGGCCGGAGCGGCTTAGCCACACCCGACCGCACTGAGGTCGTGGCTGCAACGAATAGTGGGCCGGCGAATACAAGCTCTTCCAAACTTGCTGACCTCCCTGCCAATTCGAACTCCACCGATACAGCGATTCAAACGCGCCAAAGCGACCCAATTGACCGCCAAACCCACGTCCGAATTGACGCTGCTGACCTTGCTCGCTAGGCATGGAACAGGCGCATTATAGTCCATCAATCAATGAACAGTCAGATGCGAAACGAGCGTCCCAATGTCCTCCCGACCGACCGCGCGCTGCACCCGAGCCGTCCAGCAGCTTCGAGCGCCGACAGAAGCGATATGGATCACGGATGGGCTGCTCACGAGCGCCTTTGAGCGATACTGCCATGTATCGCACCTCGCGCGACGGAACTCGAGCTCCACGCCCGGCCCGCTGGAGAGCCGGAAGCGGCTTGGGAAGCGGAAGATGACGGCCATGTACCTCGATCACCAGTCAACCCTGCCGCCCTGGGCCATGGAACTCCCCGTCGACCTCAGCAAGTGGAAGTGGCAACCGCCGACTCTTCGTCAGTCGAGCGGGGGAAACGATCTGCACGTCGAGAAAGACCGGCCGGCACCAGCAGCGTCGACCACACCGTGGACGGTGATACAGAAGATGATGAGGACCCTTGCCGGTGAAGAAAAAGCCCAAGAAGACGACGGGAGGGAAACTCTACCGGCCGACCCCCTTATGGAAAGGCTCTCTCAGGCTCGATCGGCCGTTGCTGCCTCTACACCGCAAGCGATGGACCCGGCATTCTGGAGCTTCACGCGGCACCTTGAGCAGGACATCAAGTCGGGCGCACTGGACTCCGATGCGATGGTGATGGCTGTCTCGACATTCCCACTGTCCCTCGCCAACGCAGAAGCCGACCGGCAGGTCGTCGACATTGCCATTAGGGAATTCCTCTCGGCCGTGGTCAGCGGCATCAAATCGTCCAGTCGTTTCAGCGCTGCGGATCTCAAAGACACTTTCTGGAACATGGTCCTAATACAGGCATCTCAGCTGCTCGGGGGGCGCACAAGTCTGCCGCTGGTTCAAACCATACTCGATGCGATTCCTCTCTCCTACATCGATGATGTCCACGAGGGCGTTGTTGCGGCAGTGCAAAGCCTAGTCGCGACCAGCCTACAGTGGCGCACGCGGCCCGCGGACATTGGCGTCGCGCTCCGCAGGCTATGTCCCGAGGACCACAACGCACTACTCGGCAAGTTGGAAACTGCCATTCACGAAGGTATGAGAAAGACTCGGAACCAGACGCGTCAATTATATTGGTTGCAGATCTTGGCGCACATGCCGCTGGTAAGGCAGGACTACCTGCTGGACGCTTGCGTCAGATCGGCCTACTTCGACCAGTGCTTGCTTGGGTCCGCCGGCCGACATCTCAGCGAGCTTCTCTTTGACCAGTGGACGAGCCGTGGGTATCTGCAAAGTCATGGAGAGGGGGTTGCTGAATGGCCACGCGACTGCGCCGGCCGTCCTGACCTCAGCCTGGCCGCGCTGGTCGTCAAAATCGGCTACAACACCCCCTTCAACTACATCGCCAAGACCGTATGGATCCTGCTAAGCCTACTGAAATTCTTGCGTCGCTTCGGGCGTCAAGAGGAACTGTTTGATTCCATGCGAGCTTACTGTCAAGTCAACACACGCATCCCCATCATTCCGTTCTCGCTGCTGGCCAAGGCGGGCGGCGATCACCGTTTCGCCCTTACCACACTTTCGATATTGGAGAACCATGCGGATCGCCTGGATGGCAAAAAGCGGCAATGGTGGCAGTGGTTGCCCCAGTCCGAGAGGGACAAGCAGATCCTCAAACAATGGGATTGGAAGGCCTGGCCGCGCTACGTGGAGGGAATGATCAAGGATGAGTCCATCAACCCCGCCATCGTCTGGAAAGTGGTACGCAGTGGGGCCGTGGCCGACTTTCGGTGGAAGAAGGACTGGCGCCGGGTCGATACACGGAAGAACGTAGCACGACAGCTGCCGTACGAGCGGCGTTTGGCAGAGGCAGAGCGATGGAAGAAGACGAGGATCGAGCTGATTCAGAATATGGCAGTCTGGTTTTCAGAGGCAAAACATCTCACTGACAGCACCATACTACGTAACGTGGGGCGGTGCGTTACGTGGCTCAGGGCACATGAGGTCGAGCTCGAGCACAGGGTGGTCTTGGCGGTGGTGACTGTAGGCTTGCGGGAGCTCAAGAGGTGCGAGCCTGGGAGGACGCGTCGGATATCCTGGGTGTTGGACATTATCGAGGAGCACGGAGGGGAGAAGGAGAGGCGGCTCGTTGCTCGAAGACTGCAACGGTGGAGGGAGGCCAACGTTGCCTCGGGCGAGCGTGCGGAGGAAGCGAAATCAGGGTAGCAGGGTCTCGTCGGAGGATGGAACACACTGTGAAGTCATGTGTGTCCCCCCCAATCAGGCGTCCGTGAAGGGAATGTGAGACGTTGAGACATGGGGCCTGGGGCATCGAGTCTAGCGCAGCGAGTCCACGGCAGTGGTGCCTGAAGGGAGGCCCTCCCAAGGTGAGACACGAGAGAGTGCAGAGTTGCAAAGAAGAGGCATACTAGCGCAATGTACGGAATTCTGCAATGAACAATGTTTCGTGTCGGGAGAACATTCGTTCGCCACGAGGCATCATGGGCCGGAGCGGCAGAGCGGTTGATGGTGGATGGTGTATGATGCGAAACATGGCCACGAAGATTCCGGCATTGGAATCTATTCAGTCATTGAAGCGGAGGACCACCATCGGCCGGGCCCGAGGAGAAAGTGCGCTGGATGTCTCTGCCGCATGCGTACGGCGAGAGTGTCGTGACCCCCATTGGAACCACCCACCGGATAGCAACCCACAAAACCCTTTGTCTGTTGTACTCTTGACTCTGATGTCTCTGGCCGGCCTCATGAGACAGGCCCAACTTTTTTCATCACCAAGGAAAACCTTGTTTGGGCGGTGCGCGTGCTGCGTGTGGTAAGAACAATTGCGGCAGGCCGATCCGTCTCCCACGTGTTTGCGCGGGCGGGCGGGTAAAGGGCAAAACGAGACATGCAACAAAAGAGACGAGATCAAGGGTTTGCCGCGCCGGCCAGACTCCGGAGGGTTGACCACGGTCATTTGCGGCCCAAAAGGCCAGGGCAAGGGCCAAACGGTGTGGACAGTGGCTGGGTAGGTGGTGGCGGTGAAGCAGCAGAAAGGGGGCGAACTGTGTGCAATCTGCTTGTATGTCTACCTAACCTAGATATGTAATATACGGATAATGCAGCTCATGTGTGTATACTGTGTGTTTGCTTAAAGCTGCGCCGACCAGGGGTTCACGACGAGGTTGCAAGGCAAGGCCCCAGGCACAGAAACAGAAACAAGCAGACGTGAAAGAAGACGGCAAGTCGGAAGACTCGGGTGTGGCTCCAAGAGGTAAGTGCTGCTGTTACTGCATTGGGACGTCGAGGCTTAGCGTTCTCCTTCTTGAGGCTCTCTGTTCGTCGTGGAGGGTGTCTGTGGGTTTTGATAGGAGATGCTTCTAGACGAGGGTTTGGAATGGCTGGAAGGCAGATGGAAGCGGCATCGAGGGATCTGGTCCGTCTATCCAGCCCCTCTGGTACCGAGCAGCTGTTGGTTGCTGGGATGGTGGTCCTTCATCTTGGTAAGAAATATGACCTATGCAACCAAATCTGAGGGCCAGAGCAAGTGATTGCAAGAAAGGCGAACGTGCCGTGTCCTATGCCCGGCGTAGATTTGTTGGAAGTGAAGAAGTGCGAGGTCCGCGGGGTGGGGGGGTAACCAGGGGTGGTGGTGGGTGATGCAGCAAGCAATTGGCGTATTCGGCCGAGGCATTCGGCGAGTCCAAGTACATAGCACACAGCCTGCTTGCCCGCTTGCCCACTAGGGCCATGGGCCAAGAGGTGCTGGGCCGCGGAGGGTCTCTCTCAAGGCGTAATTCTCCTCTTGCTTCTAATTATTACGTGCAGCGAGGATGGGGAAGATGAGCAAAGAAAAAGAAAAACTGAGTGGGATTGGCGCCAGTCGAGGTTGCTTCGCGAGGTGGATGACATCGAACTCGACTGACAATCGCTGTAAAGATAACCCTAGCTGGCGTTAGCTCACATGGCCTTATTAGATGGAGGTTGGGCCTATATCGCCGTGGACAATGGGATTGGGCATTTCCCCATCCATGCAGCATGCACCGCAAGTGCCCTGCGGAATGTTCCATTCAGATTTCGCAGAGACAGGCAGCAGCAGCAGCAGTAGCAGCAGCAACCGCAGGACGAGACAGATCGACCCATCAACCCTGCTTATGCCTGTGTCTTGCTGTCTATCTGTCTATCTGTCTGTCCATGTGTCCGTCTGCCTGCCCACTGTCTGTGTGTCGAGAGCTTGTACCTACACACATGGGGAGAGAGACACAGTGACGGAGAGGAAGAGAAAGAGGAAGAGAGAGAGAGAGACAGAGAGAGAGAGACAGAGAACTGAACAAGGAACAGAGACAGTGCCAGAGGCACAGAGGCAGACCGAGACGGGCCGGTCACGACGAGACAAGACAACGATGAGCACGACACGACTGGCGAGGAGGATCAGGGACTCGAGACGGACGGGGCAAACGCCGGCGCCAGGCCAGGGCTCGGCAGCTAGGGGACTGCCTCACGGATAGGGCGCGGCACTGTCGAGGCCGGGACAGATAAGCTCTCGACCGATGCATCGATGCTTCGACAGCGCGCAGGCACAGCATCACGTCCTTGACCTGTTTCCTCCAAGGTCCCTCCAAGGCGCAGAAACTAGACGATTATCTCCGTTGACCTAACGTAAGGCTCCGTCGCCTCGAGCGCAGCGTGGAGGGACAGGAATAGAGGCCAGGCGAGAAGCAGATTAGCGAAGCCGGCGCTGGCGCTGAGGTGTGTGCCTGTTGCGTGATGTTGCGATGAACCATTCCCTTCGTGGAGGTGTGTCTTGGGCAGAGAGAAAGACGCCAGGGGGGGCCGAACCCCCGCATCCGGAAGTACTGGCTACCTAGGTGCCTAGGTACACTGCCCTCCCCACTGTGCGTGCGTGCGTGCTCACCTCACCTCCACCGTCACTTGTTGCTCACCTCGGGGTCGCGCCTCCAGACCCCACGAGGGACCCCTCGTCGCCGGCTGCCGCCAGGTAAGGAAGGTTTCGCATACGCACACCCCTTGCACACTGTGCCTGTCTGTCTACCTACCTTCATCCCATGTTGTTGCTGCTGCTGCTGCTCCTCGTTCTCTCTGTTCGTCCGTTGTTGGACACGGCATAGCGCGGCGCACAAATCCAAATCCAGTTGCAAATCCACGACACCCCGTCTTTTTTTTTTTTGTTGCCTTTTGTGCCGGAAGGCGGAAGCTGCTGCTTATTCTTCTTCCTCTTCTGCTGTACACTTACATGGATACATAGTCCTGTGTAAACCCGCACTCCAACTCTCTCGAATCCTTCCACGTCCTCTTGCTCGAGTCCTCTCTCTCGACCGCCAACACATCCCACCACCTGCCAACACCACGCCAACCCGAACTCTTACACAACACCACCACCACTACGATTCGACTGCTCGACACCACCACAATCAAGCAGCAGCCAGACCGGGGCCCAGTCTAAATAAAAATCACCTCCTGCATATTCCGCCCGCTCCTCCCACACGCACACACACACACGCGCGCATACATCTCCGGCGACCACCCTGCTCCAAGTGGCCCTGCACATACAACAGCCCACGTCCTTTTTTACGTCCGTAACTCCCCCCGGACGACCCAGCCGATCCTCAACCGTTCCCAGTCTCTACCCTCTTTCGATCGCCATCTCGACCTCGCCCAACGAATGACCGCGCTGTTTGTCTGTCGTCGAACCTTAACAGGAACTCATATCACCCGCCCTCGCACGCTCCGCCGTTGACAGAAAGACGACAAGTGACAGAACAAGACCGCCGACCAACAATCAAATGGACCAAGGCCATTATTCCGCTGCACGTCATGCGCCCGGTGCTTCCATCTACTCGGCCCAGGCACCGGGCCACCCTCACGCCTATCAACAGCTTCCGCATTCCCACCCACATCAGCACCACACTCACTCGCCCGTCAACCCTCACTCGCCGCCCCATGGCCAGCCACAGTATTACCCCATGAATCCTGTGAGCCCCTCCGCGCCCGGCCCCTCCATGGCAAGCCCGCGCGTACTTCCCAACTCAGATCTCATGCCCGGCCCTCCCCAGTCGCCCGGATCAGCAACATCTTCTGTGCCAGGTAAGACGGGTGTGCCCGCCGGTGCTACCTCTCCCGGCGCCTCGGTCGCTGGCTCCGCCATCAGCTCCAAGCCCATCCGCAGGCGCATGCGCATGATCACTTCCTGTCTCGAGTGCCGCCGCCGCAAGCTCAAATGCAACAAGTCGCAACCATGCGTCAACTGCATGAAGTTCTCGCGCGACTGTGTCTACCTCAGTCCCAAGCTCGACGAGGCCAGCCAGCTTCGTCTAACAGAGATCAAGGAAAAGGTCGGCTCCTTGGAGCGCCAGTTGGAGCGCGACGTTGCAAAAACGACCTCCCGCGCTGCCCAGCAGCAAGCAATCCTGGCCGATGACGTCGAAGATGAGTTCGCCGAGGAGCGCGATCTCGAGCCCACGGACATGACGGCGCTCGATGTCACCTACGATGAAGATGCCGACGGCACAGACGATCTCATTGATCTCGGTGTTCAAGTTGGCCGCATGCGCATCACGGAGCGAATCGGCGGCCTTTCCAGGCCTAGGATAGCAGAAGAGGTGCGTATTTGGACAGTCGTCCGAGTTCTGGGCAACATTCTAACCGCAATTCGTAGATCTCTGCCGGCATTTCTGGCGGGCCTCCCGGTTCAGGAGGTCCTCCCGGCCCTCCACCCATGGGGGCCATGGGAGGCATGGGAGGCATGGGAGGCATGGGAGGAATGATGGGCGCAATGGGAGGAATGGGCGGAGCCGGACGTGGCGGGCCGCCCCGTGGTGGACCGCCCCCTGGGTATCCCGGTTTCCCCGGCCCACCGCCGGGCATGGATGCCATGTCCACCGTCAGCGGAGGTTCCAACGGCTCACTCCCCGACTTTTTGAGGCCGGGTGAGTCCTACATTCCTCCCTCGAGCGGCTTCTTCTTTGGCCAGTCGGCCGAGGTGCAGTCTTTGGAGTCTTTATTGCCCACTAGGGAAGCCGCGGACCGTCTTCTTCAACAATACTTCCACGCCGTCCATCCCGTTGCGAGATGCGTGCATCGCCCATCGTTTGAGAACGACTACCAGGGTTTCTGGGAGGAAATCTACAGCAATTATGAGCCACGGCCGTCCACGCAGGCCATCATGTTCGCGGCGTGGTTCAGCGCCGCGGTAAGTATGGATGAGCAGGTGGTCTACCGCCTGTTCGGGGTTACCAAGGCGTCCTTGATCGACAGGCTCAAGGCCGCGACGGAGACTGCGCTGGGAAAAGCCAACTTCTTGAGGACGACGAGAGTCGAGACGATGCAGGCTTTCGTCATGTACATGGTGCGTCCTATCCCAATTGTTTTTGTGCTTGCAACTGCTGACTTGGCATGCAGCTTCCGCTGTGCAGAGCCGAGGTGTCCAGAGCTCACTCCGTGCTCGTGGGCGCCGCGGTGAGGATGGCAGAGTGTATGGGTCTGCACAGGGACGGGGAGACATACGGGTTGAACCCCCTCGACACTCATGTGAGAAGGCTCATCTGGCACCAGCTGTGCTTCCTAGACATCCGCACGTGTGAGGCACAGGGCCCGCGGCCCGCCATCCGCCGAGAAGACTACGACACCAAGCTTCCGCTCAACTGCGAGGAGGACGAGCTCTACGCCACAGGCCCGCCTCCGGAGCCGGCAGAACGGTGGACCTCCACTCTGTTCTCCCTCATCCGGTTCGAGAGTAACGAGATGATGCGCATCATCTGGCTGGACCGTCGCAGGCTCGAGAGTCGGCGGACGACTCTGACTGCCGTTCTCACAAAGATTGAAAACTTTCGCAAGCGCATGCTGGACAAGTACGAGAAATACCTCGACGGCGACGTGCCTGTGCAACGGTACGCAAAGCTCGTGATGAACCTGCTCCTGTACCGTCTCTACGCCATGGTCCTGCACCCTTACCACGCCAACGCCAACAGTCCCATGCCGCATCGCCTCAACAACATCCTCATCATGTCGGGTATCATGATTATCGAAATTTCCATACAGCTCGAGACTGTACCCCGATACCAGGATTGGGCCTGGTACCTGGGTGCTTACCAGCAGTTCCAGATCGCTTTGCTCCTGGCCACTGAAGTATACTACAGGCCCCAAAGTCGAGAAGCCCCCCGCATCTGGAACTGTCTGGACTACGTTTTCCAGACGGACCGTACTCTGCCGCCCGAGATCAAGGGTTTGCAAATCTTGGGCGAGATCATGAGCAAGACCTCCATCTACCAGGGCATGCGCAAGATGCGCGCGCCCACCGGAACATCACGCGCCGCTCCGAACAAGAACGCTGTGGGCGTCAAGAGCCCCACGATGCAACCATCCCCTCAACAGTACCAGCAGAATGTGCCGATGGGTCTCAAGTCAGAAACCGGCATGGCAGCCGGCTTGCAACCGCCTACTCCCGTCAGCGGCGTCGGGTCTCCGGGGATGGGGTCTCCGGGCGGCCCAGGAGGCCCTCCCGGAGGCCAAATGGGCGGTCCTCCACCCAACATTGTCTTTGCGGGTGTCTCCAACGGCGAGGCGCTGTGGAGTGTGCAGCCGGTCACTGCGGATAGCCCGGAAAGCAGCTGCGACGGCGCAAGCGTTGCCGGACACAGGACGACGCAGGCTCCTATGAACATGGTGAACTCGCTCGAAGGCGTGGACTGGGTATGTCTTTTTTTCTTCTGTCTTTGCAGTGTCACGAAGCTAACTCATGGTGCAGGACATTATCAACAACCTGTTCCCGCATGACCCGAGCACTGGCGAGCTCAACATTTCCGGTTTCCACGACCCGAGTCTGGGCCTGAACGGGTTCCACTGGGGCCAACAACAGGCACTCGATCTTCATTGATTAAACTTACGTTGAGCGACGACAAGCAAAAATGTCAGACACCCATCTCTGACATGTTGATTTACACATACATATATAAGTACACATTTAGCACATACGTAATGCACAGGGTCTGCATGTATTTTACGAAACATAAAAGGACAGTGACGGTTGGGATACGTTTGCGTGATGCAGTGGTTGGCAAAGAGTTTGTCCGAGGTTGCGATAATAGAGAAAAAGGATACCGCGCAGGTTTGTAGTAGTCGTGTGTATGACAGAGAGGGTTGCTGGTAGACTCGTAGGCCGTTTGGGGCATTTAATGCAGAAGATCAAGGTCAAATATGCGTCAATAAGTGTCTAAAAGTGATCAAATCCCATCACGGGCAACAAGAGGCACTCGTTCAATGAGCTCATCATTATTCGTTACGGTCTAGAAAGGCCCAATTACAAAAGTAGAAATTACCGCGAAGGAAGCAAGTGACATCGCGCAGTAGGAAAAATCGTCATGACCAAAACAAAATAAAACCCAAGAGGTATCGTTGTGCAACCACCTTTTGTCCCCCCCCTTCTCCAAATCATCCCATGAAGCCTCAGGTGTCGTAAGCTTCGTTTTCTTTGTGATAATGTACCAACCCGTTTCCTTCTATTCCTTGGGCCTTTCGACCATTTCCCATAATTACACACACACTCTCCCCCTTATGTTTAGTTGGATCGCACGTTCGACGCTTGTTCGGGCAGGAAAGTGCCCATGCTGAGTTCGCTGTGTGTCGCTGCCGCGTTGCCGCCAATCACCGACCCGCCAACCTCGCTGCCGGGCGTGAACAGGCGGACAGACTTGCCCTTGGGCCGAGCCACCAGCACCTGGGCGGGACACACAACGATCTCGTCATCGTTGTTGCCAGCGTCGTCTCCCTTCTTGACGACGAGAGGGAACAGGACGATGCGGACGACGGCGTGTTGGCCTTCGAGAGACTCGTTGTTGAGGGACTTGTCGCCGCTGCGCTCATTCATGAGGGCGGCGTTGAACGTGACCGTCTCGGCGAGCTCGCCTTCAGCATCGTATTCGGGCTGCAGCGGCGGGAGCATCATGTACTCGGCTCGCTGGGTGCGCATCTCGATGGAGAGGTCGACGGCCTCTCTCATCACGCGGCGCAGCTGTGATTGGATCTGGTCCTCCAGGTTGGACGGGGGAGGGAGGACCTTGGACAGCGTCTGGAAGATGGCCTGGACCACGGCCTCGGTGTCGAGGTCGCGCTGGTGCTTGAAGCTCGGGCGCTTGGAGAGCAGCGTCAGGGTGACGGCGCGCCACTGTCGGACGGCCTGGGGAGGGCCGACCTCGGTGAGGAGCTTCTCCAACGACTTGAGCTTCTGTCGTTGTTCGCGGTCCATGCCAAAGAGGTAACGGGTGAACACAAACTCCCAAATCATGTTCATCGTCATGGACATGAATACGTCTCTGCGTCGCACGCGGTCGGCGAGATAGGCATCCACATCAGTGCCATCGAGGATGGCGTTGTCGAGTCGGTCAATGACCTTCTCATCATTGATTTCATTCGTCAACCGACAAGCGCGCATGTCGGAAAACTTGGAAAACCGGAGGACCCATTGCTGAACGTGGGAGCACAGCTGCTGGCATCGGTGGTCGAAATGGTCGACGTCCTTGACGTTCAAAAAGTCGGCGTCGGCGCCCTTGGCGGCCAGAATCTGGCGCTGCATCTGGCGGATCTTGTCCTTGGCAGCGTCGAGCTCGGAGCGCAGCTTGCTGATTTCGGCATCCTTTTGCGACAGCGACTCTTGGAAGCGGCCGTGTTCGTTGCGAACCTCGTCCAGCTGTCGCGACGTGTCTGCATGCTGCGTCTCCAATGAACGGTAGCGTTCGTTGTGTTGGGCAGCAAGCTGGGCATTGGCGCTGTTGAGGCCCTCGTTGACCTCTGTCAAGCGAGCGACCTCTTTTTGTAGGAACTCGAGCGACTGCTTGAGGACGTCGATCTCGGCGTCGCGTTCGGCTAGGATGCCTGAAGCCGAAGCGCGATTGCTGGTGGTGGTGGTGTCCGCGGTGGTTCGAGCATCGGCGAGCATGCGGTTCTCGGCCAGGAGCTGTTCGACGCGAGACTCGAGCTCGAGGACTTGCATGCTCTGACGGCGACGCATGCTGTGTGGTCTAGTGGGCGAGCGGGGGGAGCCGATGCGGCCCTCGCCAAAGCCATCCTACAGAGGCCGGGTCAGTGGAAAGTCGGTGAGGATTGAGCAAGGCTGCACAGGCCAAAACTCAATTGGAACCAGACGGTCGGGGAGGCAAGACACGAGAATGAAACAAACGCAGGGATGGCTTGTGCGGGAAAGGAAATGTCAAAGATGGGATGAACTTACAAAGACGTCGGCCATGTCCTTGGTCCGGACACGACCCTCGTTGGCGACGGGGGTGTTTGACGAGCTGGTCGGGTCCTGGGTGAGGTCTTGCTGACTTCGTTGGCTGAGAGATCGCAGGTCTCCGCTCATGCGCCTGTCTGTCCTGCGGCGGAGAGGAGGGGTGGCAGTGGCTGGGCGAGAGATGATGCCTGGGCTTTCAGGCCGGAACTTGAGTGGCTCCGGTGTTTGTGAGCCCATGGCCCGCCTGTGCCGCGAGAGGCTGCTATTGGATATGGATCTGCGCGCTACAGGGGGCTCGACCGGCGCTGGCGATTGCAGCCGTGCAACACGCTCCGAGACGCTGCGATTGCCGGGCGGGGGCGTGCTGCGCGGTGACGACGTGCTGCTGATCGCAGCCCCGGCCAGCGCCGCAGAGGCCAGGTCTTGGTACTTGGATCGCTTCCTCTCCAGCTCTGGGCTGATGCGCCGCATCTTGTGCGGCTCCGGAGTTGGGGTATCGAGTTGCCGACTGCCAGGGTCGCGCAGAACAGGCGTCTTGGACATTGGATAGTCGCGAGTCTCGTCCTCAGCGAAAGGCGATCGTCGGATAAGGTCTCTGACCGATGGTGATTTTGCCCTCTCTGCTTCACGAGATCTCCTTCTCTCACGGTGACTGGACAGCTCGGGCGTGCGCTGAGCCTCGCGCCCTTGCGAACTTGTCTCTTGCCAGTCGCGCATGACACCGCTGTCTCGCTCGACTTGGCTGTCGAGACCACTCTTGCGGAAAGGGTGAGACGAGCCTGAGCTCAGCGCGCTGTCACGATGGGGCTCTGGTGTGCGTAGTGCCCTCCGAGATGATGTTTTGGGGAGAGATCTGGGCTGAGGTTCAGCTTCTTCGTGAGCCTCCTCCTGGACTGGTGGCAGGATGCTTGGGACCGGGCTTCGGAAACCTCCTGTCTCGTAGAATGGCTCGGGGCTTCGGGATGAGAGAACGCTGAAAAGATCGCGGCGAGACTCGGCCTCGAAGCCGCGATCAACGGCCTCGTCCAGATCACTGGTCATCGTGCTTGGCTCTGGATCCAGCGATTGGCGAGTGTCCCTTTCAGTAGCCGATGGGATCTCTTCAGGCTTTTCCTCTCGCCCCAGTACAGGGCTTTCGACATTGTCGTCCAGGGCCTTTTCCTTCAGAGACGCTGTCAGACTAGGCATCCCTTTTGAATATTCCTCCTTCTCCTTCGGTGACGGCAATTCGCCAGATTCGACTGGGTTCCGTTGAATGGGCGGGCCATCTCTTTGCTTCGTGTCTGGAGCAAAAACATCATCCTCCTCCATCGCCGTGTCTTGTCTTTTGTAATGCTCCTCATCCTTCGTAGTGTCCGGCTCGGCTGGCGCCTCTTGAGCAGACGCACTCTGCGGCTCTTCACCGCCCCAGAACTTCTCAACCTCTGCGTTTGCAGCCTCACTAACGTGCTTCTTGTCGGCGCCTTCCCACAGTGATGGATCGTCAAACAAGTCGTCCTCCTGCGAGCTGCGTTTGTCTGCGTATTTGGACTTCTTTCCCTTCTTCTTGGCGCTGCTAGACTTGGCGAGGGTTGCTGCTGCCGCCGCAATCGCCGCCGCGCCAGCCGCGACACCAAGTTTCGATGAGCCGGTATCTTGGTGTTGCTTTTCGGGGGTCGCGGCCCGGGTAATCTCAATAGGGTCGTGATCAGTCTTGTGCTCGAGGTATGAAGCGGCAATATCGAGAGCAGATGTAGTCCCTGAAGGGTGTTCAGGAACCTGCTTGTCTACATTTGGTTCCGGGTGGCCTTGGTGTTCAGAGGCGTCCGGCGCTGATGTAGCATGATCTTCAGGAACGTCCCTGTCTACGTTTGGCTCCGAAGGGCCTTGGTGTTCAGGGGCGTCCGGCGCGGATGTCGGAAGCAACGAAACATCTGCAATCGTGCCAACTTGCTCGGCAGCGTTGTTTTCCTGGCTGCCGTGGTCCTCAAGGTCCACAGCTGCGATATCGCGGGAGCTAAAGATTGGTTCCGGCAACAGTGTGTTGGACTGCTCCCTGGTCTTCAGTTTCTTCCGCTTGTCGGGCTGTTCGTAGGGCACTTCGTGCACGACTCTGCTTGTCTCTTGCGCCGGCGTCAAGTCAACATCCGCCGACGTGGATGATTTGGGAGAGGGCGTTGTAGCATCGCCTGGCCGAGGGGTGTCCGCTGGGGTCAGCAGAGTACTTGCTGTCTCGGGAGGAGGCGGCGCGGACGCACTCCTGTTCTCCTCGAGGGGTTCCTTGTCAAAGTATCCCACGTTCTCGGCACCCTCTGGCGCAAGGCTCTGGTCGGCGTTTGGCGCAGGCGTCGGGTCGATGTTTTGTGGAGATTCTACGTCAACCGGAATCGACTGTTTCTTGCCCTTCTTTCCCTTTTTGGACTTCTTGGTCACTGGAACGTCCCATGCGCCGAGGTCGACCACGTCCAGAGAAGATCGTATGGCTTCTGGGAGGTCCATACTTCTCGAAGTGTCCAAGGCTGCCGTCGGCGAGGCGGGACGCGAACCATCGGCGTCGACATTGACGTCTTGTCGATGACTTGCACTTGAGTGGGCTCGGTCTTTCGCTGCGGGGCTTTGGGGTTTGCTGTTGTCATGTCTGCTCTCCCGTTCGTCGTCTTCCTGCGCAACACTCTCGGTCGGTCGCTCGGAGAGTATTGAGCGTTCCGCAAAATCAGGAGATCGAGACCGTATTGAAAGCATCGAGCGCTCCGCATAGTTGGGAGATCGAGATCGTCCAGAGAGGTTGGAATGCTCCGTGTAATTAGGGGATCGAGATCGTCGAGACCGTCGAGAAAGAAGCGAGTGCTCCGTGTAGTTAGGAGATCGAGACCGCCTAGTGAGAAATGAGCCCTCTGTATAATTGGGCGATCGAGACCTTCTTGAAAGAAGTGAGCGTTCTGTGTAGTTGCGAGACCGAGACCGTCCAGAAAGAAGCGACCGATCCCCATAGGTAGGGGATCGAGACCGTCTGGTAAGAAATGAGCCGTCCGTATAACCAGGAGAACGAGATCTTCTTGAACGAGGTGAGCCCTCAGTATAGTTGGGAGATCGAGATCGCCTGGTAAGGAATGAACCGTCCGTATATCCCGGAGACCGAGACCTTCTTGAACGAGGTGAGCCCTCTGTATAACCAGGAGACCGGGTCCTTCTCGAACGAGGTGACCCCTCCGTATAACCAGGAGACCGGGTCCTTCTTGACCGAGGTGAGCCCTCCGTATAATTAGGAGATTGAGACTGTCCAGAAAGAACTGACTGCTCGGCATAATTAGGGGTTCGGGACCGCCCAGAAAGAAGCGAGCGCTCTGCAAGATCAGGCGATTCAGACCTTCTCGAAAGAACCGAGTGCTCCTTGAGGTCAGGAGATCGAGACCTGACTGAAAGAATGGATTGCTCCGCAAGAGCTGGTGTCCGGGCCCGCGCCGGTGAAGGGGGGTTGGAGATGGCATCCAAGGGTTCGGCGATTGTAGGGGGGTTATTGAAAGAATCGGCAGCGGTGGACGGCTCGCTCTCTGGCTTGAATGACGTGATATCGTCCTCCTGGGGAGTGGCAACTTTGGCATCTTCAAGTACTTGATTCTGCCGCTTTTTCTTTTTCTTGTCTTTTTTGCTCTTCTTTGTCGGAGCACTCGACCACTCGTTTGTCCAAGCTGCCAGAGGGTCGAAAGATGCAGCGTCAGCCGCGGCATCTTGCTGTTTCTCTTCTGCCGGCGTTGTCTCCTGCTTTCCCAGGATCTTGTCTGCGGGAGAATGGGGACGTTCCATCTCGCGAACCAGGCCCATGTTGGCATCGACGTTAAGGGGTTCGGAGAGGTTTCTCTCATCTGGGAAAACATCGGGTGCGGCGATGTCGGGGATCTTGGCCTCCTCTATAGTGGAGACGGCCGGCTCTTCTTCCTTAAACTCTTCCACCGCCGGTCCCGCAGGGGTGGCAGCCTCAGACGCCATCAGGTCGTTTTGCGCCTGAGACTTTTTCTTCTTCTTGTCCTTCTTTGACTTCTTGGCAGGCAATGTCTCGGGCCACTCATCTTCTGGCAGGGCGACGGCGGCTTCCTTGGTCCGTATGGCATCCTCCAGACTGGCAGAGGGCACGTCATTGACGCTTTCAAGCTTTGGCTCTGATGTCGTTGTCGGTTGGTCTACAGTAATCGGGGCAACCGGAACGATCTCTTCCACCGGCTGGGCCGGCTCGGGCAGAGTTTCCGTTACGATGACGGGAGCGTCCGACGTTGACGTAGGCGGTGCCTGCTCGACAGTTGTGGGTGGTTTTACATCGATGTCCATTTCATCCTGAAACTCGGCTTTCTCAACGACAGGCTCGATGGGAGCCGGGATAGAAGCCTCAGCAGGGTTATTGGTAGGCGCTTCAGCCGCTGGCGAGTTTGCTGCTGCGGGGAGATCGTCGGATGCGCCGTCGGCAACAGGCAGCGACCTCGAGGTTTCTTGTTCAACAGCGACATCGTCCATGGACAAGCCCTTCTTCTTCTTTTTCTTGTCCTTCTTTGACTTCTTGGGCGTCAAGGGAATCTCTTGTTCAGGCTGGGGAGCCGTGGACTCCTGGGTGTGGACGACATCCGTCTCGGCCGATTGCGAAGGCATCACATCCATGGAGTCCTCGGCTGGTAATGTCGCGGGAGCTGTGAGGCCTGTCGCGTTAGAAGCAGGATCAGCGGGGACCTCCTCAGACGGCAGTGTGGACTCGATAAGATCAGCAGATGTCTCCTGAGGCGGCTGCGTGGACTCGAGTGGAGGAGCAGTAATGTCAGCCTGTGCCGCCTCTTGGACGCTGGGAAGAGGTTCCTCGGGAACCTCCACTGTCGGCGTAGCATCAGAAAGAACATTTGAATCATCCTGCAGCTTGGCCTTCTTCTTTTTCTTCTTGTCCTTCTTGGAAAGCTTGGGCGAAGAGGGCTCATTATCTATGATATCAAATGTGTCTGCCTCGTCACTGCGCGCTTTATCTGCCTCGAGGGCAACGTCTTCCATGAGCGTGTCCGCGTCAGGAAGCGGAACATCTTGGGCCTCGGTGGCAGGCTCTTGGACATCATTAAGGTCAGCCGGCGTGTCCGTTGGTGGCTCCTGGGAGATGTCTTCCGCCGAGGGAACATTGTCCGAAGGAATGTCAAGAGAGCGCTCAGTGACAGGGTTGACGGCAGACTCGGCAGCAGCCTCGAGTGAGGGTTGCGGCTTGATCATCTCAAGAGCCTGTCCCTTCTTCTTTTTCGACTTCTTGGCCTTCTTGTCTGGCAGCGGGAACTCATCCTCGGCAACCACTGGCTGGCTTGTCTCAATGATTTCGGGTGCCTGAACCGGCGTCTTCTCCTCCTCCAAAATTGGAATCTCTTCGGCTGGCTCCACAGCGGCACTCGCAGGCTCGGGCTCGGCGGCCACTGTTTCCTCCCGAAGAGACTGCTCAACCGGAGGCTCAGCCTCAAGTGCTGGCTCCACCTGAGCCTCCTGGGCCTTCTTGCCCTTCTTCTTATCCTTCTTCGACTTCTTCTCCGGGATAGGGAACTCATCCTCTGCGTTGACGGTGACCGGCTGCGGCGCCTCGGCTGTCTGCGTGGGATCAAGAACAGTGTCCGCTAGGGCGGTCTCGGCGACGGGGGGAACATCTGCCTTGGACAGCTCTTCCATTGCAGCAACATCCAGATCCATGGGATCTTCGTGCTGTGAAGGCTCAGCAATCACAGGTGGGGTGGCCTCATCAACAATGGCGTCATGAATAGAGCTCTCTTGTCTGACTGATTCGTCATCAGGCGCGGTGTCCATGGGTTGCTCGCGCGCTACCTCCTCTTGCAGGGGTTGGGGTTCGTCAGTCGTAGTAGTCGCGTCTTCAGTGAAGACATCTGTTGGCTGGGGAGTACTTTCAGTCTCTGGCATCACCATCTGTTCGGGTTGTCCAATAAGGGCGGCTTCGGGGGCAGGGGGGGTCTCCGTCTCCGTAGGCAGGGGTTGCTCTGCGAGGATGTCGGCGGAAGCACCCTTCTTTTTTTTCTTCTTGTCCTTTTTTGACTTCTTTGGGGAGACGGGTTCCTCCTCCTCCAACGGACGGGCTTCTTCCGCGGGCATAGGCGTGCTGAAGGATGGTGCATCAGGCTCGACCACCCGAGCTTGTTCAGACGAGTCGACTTGCTCAAAGGCAGGCTCGTCGACGGCGGGAACTTCAGCCGGGGCGGGTTGTGACTCTGGCGCTGGAGTCTGCTGCGGCGGGCTTGTTTGTTCGACGACTGGCTCCGTCGCCGGCGTCACAGTCGGCTCATCTGGGGTCTCGGGGCCCTTCTTCTTCTTCTTTTTGTCCTTCTTCGACTTCTTGGTCACGACGGGGAACTCATCTTCTGCCAGAACAGTGGTGTCGGCAATGCTATCCGAAGGCATTGTTTGTGCTTCCTGAGGAACTTCAGCCTCAACATCCGGCGGCGGTTGAGAGACGGACGCTGGGTTTGGTGCGTCTTCTGGGCGGTCGAGAATGAGGGTGTCTTCCTGGGTCGAGGCCTTTGATGAATCCTCGGGCAAGGTATCGTCAAGGGGTTGGGGGTCCCTGGAGAGTTGGAGATGTTCTGCGTCGGCGGGCAAGGTGTCGACAGGTGGGGCAGGCGCGGGAGTGGATGTGCTTTCCCCATGTCCAGGCTGGTGGTGGTCCTGCCGTGTTGGGTCCTGGAGACTGCCTTGGGCTTCTTCGCCACCAGAGCTCTGCTGCTGCTGCTTCTTCTTCTTGTTCTTTTTGCTCTTCTTTGTTGGTACTTCGAAACCAGCATCATCAGCTTCTTGAGGTGCTTGCGGTTGCTCGTCCCCAGCGCTTGTATCATGCGGGGCATCAGGAACACGGGACACGCCGGGAACATCTTCGGGCACGCCTTCGACAACAGCCTCAGAGGTCTCAAGGGGAGCGTCGGAAGTCTCAGCGGCAGTCTGGTGCTCATTTACTGCATCTTCCAGACTTGGAGATCTCTCATCCTCCTGTGCTGGTGAGGACGGGGGCGCTTGCTCAGCAACAATTTCTTCGGGCTTTGAGGAAGACTCTTCGGGCTGCGCTACAACCGCGTCAGCATCGTCAGCTGCCTGAGCTGCGGCGCGCTTCTTCTTCTTGTCCTTTTTGCTTTTCTTGCTGTTAGGTTGGATCGCCCATCCGTCATCACCAGCCCACAGCGCAATGTCCTCTGCGCCGGGAGCGTTGGCAGCGTCCGGGATGGAAGCCGGCTCCGGCTGCGCCGATGACTCAATCGGTGCCGAGGCACCGGGTTCAGCAGCTGAGGGGCTGTCATCCACATCCAGTGCTTGGGTGTCTTCAACATCGTCCGGCTCTCCGGCGGCGGCGGCCTTTGCCTTCTTGGCCTTCTTCTTGTCCTTTTTGGACATGTTGCTTGGGGTTGCGGGCTCGGACCAGACGTCAGCTCCCTCCACGGGCTGTGTCTCAGTCTCGTCGGGGCTCTGGATGGTGCTCCCAGCATTCACAATCCCTGTGGGTTCAGGGCCTGGAACGGTCTCCGACAATGAGTCTACTTGCGGCTCCGAGGCGATGAATTCACCAAGTGATTCCGGGGCGGCAGTTTGACCCGGAAGTGCAGCATCGGTGGCGCGGGGAACGGGGTGCTGCTCTTCCTCGGCCTTGTGTTCTCTGGAATCCCCAATGTAGGGAGAGTCGTTGAGATTGAAGTCTTCCGGGCGAGACTCGGCTGACGCAGCGGCGGCGGCGGCGGGATCGATAATCCCCGCGTCAGAATTTTTGGCACGCTCCAACAAACTGGGACTGCTGGGAGTGTGACGGGGACGGGGACGGGGACTGGGTACCTCGTCCAAAGGCGAGGTGCTGCTGGAGGCGGCGTGGGAGGGCAAAGGCTGGGGGATCTTCGGGTTAGAGTCTTGGTTGGCCAAGGGTTGGACCGGGGTGTTTTGTGGGCCACCAGCCTCCAGGGCCGAGTCGGTGAGGGCCGGTCCCACGGGTTCTGCATCCGTCATCCGCCCGTTTTGCGTGTCGACCAGTGATTTGTCGTGCCCTGGCCCACTGTCCGGCTCCACAATGGCATGCAGGCTGGGGTCGCTGGTGCCAACCTCTCCCGTTTGGGCGTCTGCTGTCGCAGATGGTTTGCTAATGGCACCAGAACGGCCCGCCTGTTCAGCATGTTCGGCGTCCGATGTTGCATCAGCCTCGCTGCTTGCCACCTGCTCCGCTTGCTCATCGCCCTCCAGTGTCTCACCGCCCTTCCGGTTGGCCGCACCACTGCTGGACGAGCCAGTTGCGGGCAGCATTCTGTGGGCGGAGGGGAAGTAGGCCTGCTGGGCGGTGGGAATTGAAGCGTCGCTCCTCGTGGCTCCCCGCGTTGTTGCGTGCAGCCCAGAGGATGACGGGAAGTAGTCGATGGGGTCAGCAGCAGCAATGTCGTGCGCGTGTTCGTGCTCGTGCTGTTGGGGCAGCGCCTGGGTGGTCTCGCTTGCAGGGTGCCTTTGAGCTTGGCTTTCTGGGTCGAGATCCTTCTGCGCCACACCTTCGCTTGTCTCGTCGACAGCCATCGTGTCCGAACCCTGCATCTCCTCACCAATTGCCCGAGGCGGGCTCTCCGCCTCCGATCGATCCTCAGGTTCGCTTGGCTCCGTCGTTTGTAGCTCTCCGGTGGCTGGGGGCGGGGCCGTCGCCGCCTCAGGTTGCCATTCCGAGCCGTGGCCGGCTTCCTGAAGAGGAAGATCGGAATTGTTCGCGGCGGATCCCAGTTCAGGTGCCCACGTCACGGATTTTCGTCTTTGCTCGCCCATAATTGCAGCAGGTTCGGCCTCGGTCGAGCTTTCTGCTGGCGGGAAACGAGCTTCGTCACTGACAGGCTCTCTCGGCGGAGAGGAAACATAAGCGGACTTGTCCATTGTATTCGCTACATCTGCCGTGCTTTCGGGGATACTTGTGGACGGGCTGTTCTCAGGCTCCGGGTCCAAGGTTGATGACTTCTTGCCCTTCTTCTTTTTCTTTCCCTTTTTGGTAACAGCTGGCCCTGCGTCCGCCTCCTCTGAAATCTTGACGTCCGTAGCGAATTCTCCGCTTGTCGGGAGCTCAGGCGGCGGTGATTCCGTGTCTCCCGTCTTGTCTTGTGTGATGCTCGTGCCCTTGTCCGTGATCGTCTCGTCCTTTGCCTCCTTCTGGTCCTTCTGGTCTCCAGGAGTGTCCTCAATGGCTGCTTGCAGGGCTGCAGCCGCGGCGGCTGCCGCTGCTGCTGCCGCTGCCTTCTTCTTCTTTTTCTTGCTCTTCTTGGACTCAACTGGCGAGTCGGGTTCGACTGGCGTCTCAACATCGCGGGGTTGCTCCTTCTCAATGAACGGCTCTTGCGGCTTAGTATCGACCGCGTCGATTTGGCTGTCGAGAAGGGTGGGCTCTTGCGAAAGGCTTCCAGGCGCGTCATCCTCGATTTCAATGGTGATGGGGCGTTGCGGCGGCGTTGCAAAAGCCTCATCGTTGCTTTCGGCGTTTGTAGGCTCTTGAGATTCGCGAATAGCCGTCTCCGGTTCGTCTGGTTCCTTTGTCGCCGTCTCTTCGGCCATGGTGGCTTGCTCGGGAATGGCTGCAGGCTCCATGGACTCATCTTGAGGGATAATAGTAGTAGCGTCGGATTCTGAGACCTCGTTCTTGCGAGATGGTGAAGGCTCTTCTGACAGGGGAGATACATTGTCAGCCTGGCCGACTGACTCTGTCAACGTGCTGCTTGGTAGCTCTTGAGTCTCTGTGGTGACGGCCAGATGCTCTTTTGCAGCATCCAGGTCATTGCCCTGAGCTTCGTCGGATCCCTTCTCGATCGAAGAGACCGTATCCGGGGCTGGCTCTTCTGTGAAATCTGGCGCCTTTTCCTCGGGCGCACCAGCCATGGCCGGAGTCTCAACAGCAGCCGGAGTCTCAATGATTTGAGTCTCGACGGCAGCTGGAGTCTCAACAACAAGGTTGGTCTCCTCGGTGGAGAATTCGATATCAGCAGGAATCTCGACAGGAGCGTTGTCGACGACAGCCGGGGTCTCAACAGTAGTCTCGCCTGTAGGAGTCTCAACAATAGGAGTCTCAACTACGGGGTTCTCGATCACAGGAGTCTCAACGACTGTAGTCTCACCAAATGGAGTGTTGGAAGCAGGGGGTTCAACAGGAGGGTCCTCAGCAGGGGCTGGAGTAGTCTGGGAAGCCGTGTCTACTTCGTCGAAAGCAACAGCAGTGTCACCCCTAGGAGTCTCAACGATTGGAGTCTCGACTACAGAGTTATCAACTACAGGAGCCTCGAGGTCACGAGTCTCGACAGCTGGGGTCTCAACGATAGTCTCACCGGTAGGAGTCTCAACGATTGGAGTCTCGACTACAGGATTATCGACTAAAGGAGTCTCAACAGCTGGAGTCTCTGTTAACGGAGTGTCAGCAGCTTGAGGAACGACAGGAGGTGTCTCCGTCGTTGGGGTCTGAACAGGTGTGTTTTCCATAGACAGGATGTCGTCCAGCTGGGATAGGGAGGGTCCCTTGCTCTTCTTCTTCTTTTTCTTCTTCTTCTTTTCCGATTGCTCAGGCTGAGCAGATTCGGCGGACGGCATTTGCGTGCTCGCTGGCCCAGGCTCGGAAAGCTCGGGAAGCTCAGCTGCGCTATGGGTCGTGGAAGGGACATTGTCAATAGGCTCAGAAGTAGAGAGGAGATCCTCTTTGGGGCCAGATTCCGCCGCGGGAACTTTAGCGGTCTCTGCCTCGCTGGTTGTGGGCTGCGATACTTTGGGGAACCTGTCCTCGAGTGTGCCGGAGTAGACATTGTCTGAAGTAGCTTCCATGGGGCTGGTGGGCGTAGCCTCCAGATCCAATCCACGTGATTCTGAAGAAGGCAATTCAGGGTTCTCGGCAAGGTCCGCATGGACGTCTGCAACAGGAGTTTCCTGTTCAAAGACAGGTTTGGCCTCAACGTGTTCATTCTCAGCCGCCAAAGACAGGTTCTGGTCCCTGAGAGGGGGGGTGGGCGATGTCTCTGCCGGCTCTGCGATCTCACGGACGGCACTCGTTGGTTCCTGCGCAGGCTGGACATCGTCCGAAGGCAGAGTCGGCAGCAGTGGCAAGTCGTCCTCCGTGTTGCCGAGCTTTGCCTCGTCTTCACCGGGGGCCCTTTTTGGTGGAGCCGAATCGTCGTCCAAGCTGACCGACTTCTCTTCCAAGCCAGAAATTGAAACTTGTGGCCCCAAGGAAGGCTGACCATCAGCAGGCGCGTCTTGCAATGTGGGAACGTCCTCGCTATGACCAGACAAAGTGTTCTCGAGAGTGGCAGGCTTCTCTTCCGCTTGAACGGTAGGCTTAGACTCCAATGTACGCTCGTCGATGCTGGCTGTCTTCTCCACGTCCTCTTCAATTGGAGCCGACGAGTCTGCCACATCATCTCCCCGCGCCAACTGGTTGTCATCTTGTTCCAAGATAGGAATGTGCTGAAGTTGAGACTCCGAGTCGGGCAACGGGGCAATTGGTGCTGTGGGCTCGAATGTGGAGGGGCTCTCATCCAGCTTGGCCGACACTTCCTGCTCCGGGAATGGCGTCACTGGCTCGGAGGCAACGGGGATGGTTTCACTGGCCTCAGACGTTGACTTGACTTCACCATCCAGATCGAGTGCCTTCTTTGCCTTCTTCTTCTTTTTCTTACTCTTCTGTGTCTCGGGAGATGAAGGCTCGGTGACTGAAGGCGCAACAGGCTGCTCGGCTTCATTGGCGTCCTTGCTCTCGCCGGAAGTCGGCGCTGAGGATGAACCGTCTGTGCCGGGCAAGAGAGCCGGTTCGTCGGTCTGTGGCACAGAAGCGGGAACGGTGGTTTCGGTTTTGGGAAGCCAAGTCGCGGCTTGTGGCTCAGGCAGCTGGGATGCTTGCTCAGTCTCAAGGGCTGGACCACCAGTATCAGCGTCTGCCACAGCAGCTTCCACCTCAACCATAGAGTCATGTGCTTCAGTCTCAGGCGCGGGAAGCGTGTCTTCGGCAAGGGAGGATGTGCAGTTGTCCTCTGGCAATTGATCTGGCACTGGTTCCGTGGCAGACTCGATCTGGTCGCGTTCCTCGTCAGGCTTCGCAGAATGTTCAAGCTCCAACGCCCGAGCCTGAGCCTTTTTGAGTTTCTTCTTGTCTTTCTTGGACAGCTTCTTTTCGGCGGGAACGTCTGCTGTAGAAGGCTGAACAGGGGCAGTCTCCAAGGCCTCAGCATCAACGGGCGCCTTGCTCTCAACAGTGGACATCTCAGGCTGAGTTTCCCCAGGAGTGTCTTCAACGCGCACATTGTCGTTGGCGCTTGATAGTAGGCTCTCGATCCCACGGACGACGTCATCTGAAGGAGTCTCACGCTGGATGGATTCGACCGGTGGGGGCAAACCATCTCTTGGGGCGATTGAGACAGGCGTATTGTCGTTGGACAAGACATTGCTGCTGGCAGGCGGATCAAGGTTGGTGTGAGTCGATGAGGGGAGATCTTCTTCATGTGGCTTAGATGAAGGGGATATGGGCATGGAGACCTCATCGGGAGGGGCCACAACCGATGGAGCCTCCGTTGAAAGCGCCTCTTCACGTGCGGGAACCTCAGCAGCGCGCGTTTCCGAAGTGGGAGCGGCTTCGCTCGGGATGGCCTCTGTCGAGGGAGCTTCAGCTGGGGCCTCGGTGCCAACCTCACCAGAAGGAGGTGCAGACTCTTCTGCGGGCATCTCGCGAGGAGCATCGATTGACTGCCGTCGGTCCTTGTCAATCGGGCTGACAGGAGCATTATCATTCGACGGCAAGGCGGCATTCTCGGCTGGTGGCTCGGTAGAAGTGGCGGCCTCCGTCGGGGCAGCGTCCTCGTCCATAGACAGCGCCTTACTCTTTCTCTTCTTTTTAGCCTTTTTGGACAGTTTCGTTCCAGCAAGTGGCCCTGCCGGTTCGAACATTCCAAAGTTTTCCAAGCTTTGGGTGTCGGGGTCAGACTGCTTTTTGCCCTCGGCCTGGTCGCCATGGCTGAGAATAGTCGTAGCAAGCCCGGCTGCCGCACCGCCTGCAACGGCGCCAAGAGCGACGTCATGCGCATCGGAGAGACTCTCCTCTTCAACTTTAGCCATCGCTTCGGATCTATCCAAAGACCTGGTGGGCGTGGGGCTCGGCGGTGTGTCTGGAAGGTCACCCTCCATTAGATTCTTGACGATAGACGGGGGCGTCATGTGCAGGAGATACGAACTTCTGTCCTTGGAGGTGACATCAACTGGCTCTGGCTCTGGATGTGTTCCGACCGCCGGTAACGTCTCAGGGCTGGTCGGCAGAGCAGGCAAATCTTCTAGCTGGTGATCAGAGGCATACAGCTGGTGAGATGCGTGCGGGAGATGAGGAAGCGCGGGCGATTCGAGCGCAATAGGGCCTCTTGAATGATCCTCAGGTTCTGCCACAGGGCTAGGAGGCAGAGCAGGTAGGTCTTTCATGGGCTGCTCTGGAAAGTAGAAGTCGGCTTGTGGGGGAAGGGCGGGGGATTCTGGGGCGAAGGTGATCCTTGGGGCATTCGTCCCTTCACGATCCATTACAATTGGCTCCGTTGTAGGACTGCTGGGTAGAGCAGGTAGCTCCTCCAAAGACTGCTCTGGGAAGTGGAAACCCACATCTTGGACTGAAGGGAGAGCAGGCGATTCAGGTGCGAAAACAACCTTAGGAGGGGCAGGCTCCTCACGCTCCATCACAAGGGGCTCCGCTACAGGGCTTCCGGGAAGGGAAGGTAAATCGTCCAGCTGCTGCTCCTGAAAGTAGATAGCCGTGTCTGGGACGAAGGGAAGAGCCGGCGATTCAGGTGCGTAGACGACCCTTGGAGGGGCGATCTCCTCACGGTCCGTAACAAAAGGCTCCATTGAAGGACTTCCAGGGAGGGCAGGCAACTCTCCTAACTGCTGCTCAGGGAAGTAAAAACCTGCGCCTGAAACCGCGGGAAGAGCGGGCGATTCAGGTGCAAACGTGAATTTCTTCGACACGTCCTCGGCCACAGGGCTACCAGGAAGAGAAGGCAACTCCTCTAGCTGCTGCTCCGGAAAGTAGAAACTCGCGTCAGGAACTGAGGGAAGACCAGGGGATTCAGGCGCATAGGCGAACTTCTTCAGCGAGGCCTCAGTCTCCGCCAGAGGGCTACCGGGAAGAGAAGGCAAATCCTCTAGCTGCTGCTCTGGGGAGTATAAGTTCGCGCCAGGAAATGAGGGGAGAGCCGGGGATTCGGGTGCATAGATATGTCTGACGGCCTCGTGCTCTGCCACAGGGCTGGCGGGAAGGGAAGGCAACTCATCCACATTGTAAGCTGGTGTGTCGAAATGCCTAAATGTCTCTGGAATCGTGGGGAGAGAAGGGGACTCTGGAGCATAGGTGATTGTTGCTGGAGGGTCCTGCTGCTCTAAAACAGGGCTGAGAGGAAGAGCAGGCAGGTCTGTCTCGAGCTGCTCTAGCAAGCGGAAGCCTGTGCCTGGCCACGTGGGAAGGGATGGAGACTCCGGCGCGTAGCTGATGGTAGGAGCAGGTTCATGGTGCTCTAGCATAGGGCTGCCAGGCAGAGCAGGCAACTGGTCTACTGAGTCGACCGGGAAGACGACATCTCTAAACTTGTCTGGGGACGCTGGCAGAGCTGGAGACTCGGGTGCAAACTTAGGGCCAATATCGCGGTCCCGGTGTTCCAGGACCGGACTGGCGGGAAGGCTGGGCAGCTCTGCAAGATCGTACTCGGGAATGTCTAGCCGTGCAGCATCTACAACCGAGGGAAGTGCGGGCGACTCGGGTGCGAAGCTGACGCCCTTTGCGATTGGCTGATACTCTGCTACAGGGCTGCTGGGGAGGGCAGGCAATTCATCGAGGTAATGTGCTGGGAGACCAAAACCTTCGGCGTTGTCTGGGATGATAGGAAGCGCAGGAGATTCGGGGGCAAAGCGGACGCTCTTGGGCGAAGCTCGAGGCTCCAGCTTGGGGCTAGCAGGTAAAACAGGCAAAGCCTCAAAGTAATGGTCTGGGAGATCGATTCGAGGGGTCTCTGTGACGGGCGGAAGAGCAGGAGATTCAGGGAGGAATTTGGGGACAGTATGCGGCGCTTCGTACGCGTCCTCAGCCAATGGACTTGTGGAAAGAGCAGGGAAATCTTCCGCGTCGTGGAACTGCATAACAGAAGAAGGCGCCTGATCTGTCACAGGACTAGCGGGAAGAGATGGCAGGTCCATCGGACCATACTCGAAAGATTCCAGTTGCCTGGCTGCATCAGGCATGCCGGGAAGTGCGGGCGATTCAGGGAGGAAAACAGGGCCTGTGGGCTTCTCTGCCAACCCAGGCTGAGACTCTGGATCGTCAAATAGAGGAGGTAGATCTGCTATTGCGCGCTCCAAAGACGGCTCGGCAGGCACTGCAGCTTCATGCTCAGTTACCGTACTTGCTGGGCTGGCAGGGACAACAGGTAGCGCAGCCAGGTCACGCCCTGACAGCTCCAGTTGTCTGTTTAGGTCTGGAACGACAGGTAGAGCAGGGGACTCAGGGCGGTACATGGCACGAGTATGGTGCAGTGCTTGCTCGGCATTTGGCGTTGTCTCCTGCGAGCTGAACTGGTCTCGTGCACCCGGAGAGCGGAACACATCCCTGTTGACACGGAGCTCATCAGGCTCGAAAGGTGAGGCCTGAAGCTGGCGGAAGTACTCCACGTCGTTCTCGCGGAGAGCAAACTGCGGTGCAGGGGACTCTCGGGACGAGGGCTCGCTGGGTGGCAGCCCCGGAAAGTCTACGTGTGGCTCCGTAGACTGAGCGGCGTGCTCCTGGCGAGCCTGCTCGAGCAGGTAGAGCGGTTTAATTTCCTTGCTGCTCTCCCACGAGAATGGTCTGATGGAAGGACGCCGGGACAGGGCGTTCTCCGGGGCCGTTGGAGCCGTCGGAGAAGTCATGGGAGAGATTGCATGTCCCAGATTACCTGGAGATGATGGGCTGGACCTTTGTCCGAGCCGCAGCTTGAAGGGCACCGCAGTTTGGCTTGGGCTCTTGTGCGGGGTGTCCAAGTTGCTGCGGCGCCGGACATGCGTCTTCATCTCGTGCTGTCGTCTCCGCTCCTCTGGGGGCGTTTCTGGCCGGCTGTCGGGCAGGGCAGGGAGGTCGTCGAGCTCTTCCGTTGGAGAACCAGGAGTGCTCGGCGGCATAGGACTAGGCGGGAGGGGAAGGAGGTCGCCATATTGCGGGTCGATGGCTGGCCTGATTGTCCGCTGTGTGATTTCGGGGTCGAGAATGTCCACGTCTGAGGAAGCACTGGCGGTCCTTTCCAAAGAACGAGAATGTTCAGACTCTTCCGGTTGAGGTTCGGTGGCGTTGGAGCGGGACATCATGGAGCCCAAAGCTGCCACGGCGCTCGCCAAGCCGGCACCCGCGCCAAGGGTGCCGGCATTATCTAAAAAAGACTTCTCCTCCTTTCCAGATGTGTCCTTGTTCCCGCTTCCCGGTCTAAACAGGCTAAAGAACCCGCTGCTGCCGCGCTTCTCTTCTTCCTTGGTGCTCTTTTTGTCATCGTCCTTGACACTCTTCTTGTCGTCGCGGCTACGTCTCTTACGGCCGGACCCGTCCGATGCCACAGACTTGGCGTCGTCTTCTTCGTAACGGCTGCCGTTGGAGCGGCGATCTGACTTGCTGCGCCGCGGTGTCGAATCGGACACGACAGAGCCTGTGTCTTGGTCGTCGATCCTAGATCGATCTCGCCGCGATTTGGCAGGACGATCGTCCCAGTCGTCCACAGGCTTGGTGGGCGAGCTTCTCCCGCCGGCAGAGACGTCCTCAATCTGCTTCTCGACGTCGGTCCACTCGTCAGAGCTCTGCTTGGACTTTTTGGACTTTTTCTTCTTCTTCACTGGCGAGTCCAACGGGTCGTCGTCCTTCTCGCGAGGTTCTGTCGGAGCAGTGTCGTTGTGCTCGGGCAGCTCCTCGCGATAGCTGCGCGGCTCCTCAACGATGATCTCCTGCGGCTCTTTCCCATCCTCCTGTACCACAACAATGTCTGATCTGGAAGACCGTTTCTTCTTCTTTTCTTTCTTGCTCAACTTCGTCGGTGCAGCGGCGTCGTCATCTGCTTTGGGTGTCTCAGATGACGCCGGCGCCTGGGAAGATGGCTCATCGCGGGAGCGTACGTAAGAGCTTGGCGCCTCAGAAGGCTGAGAGTAGAGAGAAGAAGACTCGTCAAAGGATCTTGTGTCTTGGATGGAAGGCAGTTCGTCAAAAGAGGTGCCAGCGTAAGGAGAATCATCCATGGATCGGGTGGTCGGGGGGGATCTTCGCTCTTCAGACTGGCGCCGAGAAGTTGGCTCGTCAGCAGAACGGCGGTAGTCATACGTTGGCACTTCATCAGAGCGGCGGGACTGGTAAGTTGGCTCGTCAACATAACGGCGGGAATCGTATGTTGGCTCTTCAACAGGACGATCCCGGTGGGAAAACGACGGCGAATTCCAAAGGGGGTCGTCAAGAGGGTCGCGAACTTTGGGACCGACCGACACAACGGTTGATACAACGGTTGAGGGGCTCTGAGACCTGTCGTCGTTCCAATCGTGCTCGGACGCCGTTTGTGAGAAAGGATCCAGCGGTGTTACCGCCTTTGTTGTCTCCTCCGGCGCGCTCTCGACGCTCTGTCTCTTGGCGGCCTTCTGCTTGCGCTTCTCTTTCTTGCTGAGCTTCCTACCAGGCTCAGATTCGTCGCCAGCAGGCTCTTCATGCAAGGCTTCAGTCTCCTTGGATTTGCCCTTATCACGATACTTTCTAGGGAGAGTATCGAAAGCAGCATGGCCGTTTTTCAGATCCTTCTCCACAGGGGTGTCTTGAACCTCGCTAATGACGTGGCCTGGCTCGCGGGTGGCTGTGGGCTGCCCGATATTCTCAGGACCGTAGATTCCCAGGTCATTTACCGTCTCTACGTAAGGCTGCTGGTAGATTGGCTCATTCTGGCCCGGCGGACTATCACGCCGCATGTAGGTAGGGTTGTCAATGACAATGTTGGGGTCAAATCCAGTGTCTTGCAAGCCAGCAGCGAGGACGGACGCGAACTCCAAATCATCCGCAAACGCCCCGGGCATCTGAGAGGTTTGTGGACTGGACGGCTTCGGGCCTGGCGCAGGAGGCAAGTCATCCTCAAACGAGGTGGTGACCTTGGAATGGATGGGGGAAACGGCAGGCTCCGAGGAAGGCTCGACGGCTCGGGACTTGGGAGACTGCGGTGGGCTGTGTCTCTCCCTGTCTTCCGTCGTCTTGTTCTCCTCGAAAGGATCGTGAACCTCGGAGGTAGCTGCCGCTGCAGCGCCCGCTCCGCCGATGGCTGCGGCGATCACGCCCCACGGGGTGCTCTTACCGAAGCGCTTCTTCGACTTCTTGGGAGAAGTGGATGAGGGCACGCTCTTCGGAGGCTCCGGGCTCTCAATCTCAAAACTCTTGGTCTCGTTCTCGCCCCAGGTCACCGACTTGGCCGTGGGTGTCGTTGGTCTCTCGACAACCTTTTGTTTTGGTTCAGGAACGACTTCAGGGGCGATATCCGCGGGAGTTGCAGTCACCTCTACGGATCTAGGCTTTGGCACTTCACGTGTGCTCTTCTTCGGCTTTTCCTCTTGTCTCGCTTCACGGTTCGCCTCCTTCTGCTGCTCAGGGGCAGGTGTGGCGCGGGGGGTGATATTAGGTGTAGGGAGGACGAGATTCAATAGGGGCCGCTCGCGCTCACAAGAGGGGTCGCGAGACCGGAAGACATGCGTGGACCCAGGACCAAGCTGGCCTTCCGGTAGACGGAAACGGGCGAGCTCGTCTGGTATTATGACGTGGTCGATACGAACATCCGCGTTTGGCGCGTCGTAGGGGCTCTTGTCGTGAGGATGGTCCATCTCCGGGGGTGTCACGATGGTGACAACTTCAGGTCGCTTGTCGTCATCGTACTTGCCTACAACGGACCCGTCATGAGGCGAGGAGCTGCGAGAGCGAATTTCGTCCTCGGCAATCTTGCGAGCAAGGACGGTCTCCCGGTAATGCCTGTCGGCCTCTTCCTGGACGGCGTCTCTGGCAGCCTGGGAGCTGGTACGCGAGCCATCCTCGGTGACATGTTCACTATGATGTTTTCGCGATCTCTGTTCCTCTACGGCAATTGCAGAAGCAAGAGCGGCCGCGGCGACGGGCGCAGTGGCATGCTTGACCTCGTCGTAAATTGCCTTGGCGGCGTGCTTCTCCTCTTCGAACGAGTCTCTGCGACGGCGGGGTTCCGGCGTTCTCGAGCGGTCTCTGAAGCCTTGCTGGTACTGCTCCAACCTTTGCTCGAGCTCGAAAGAATCCTTGCGGCTCATTCGTGAATCCGAGTAGTCGGGCTTCCTCGGGGGCGAATCGTCGAAATTAGGCTCGCGATCAACAGTCACGACCTGGGGAGTCAGCGGCCTCTTGGGCGTGGCGTTCTTGGGCGTCGCGTATTTCGGTGTTTGGAAAGCGTCGTCAGCGACCTGGAACTGGAAAGGGTCAATAGGGGCTTGTGTAAAGGGGACCTCGGGTTGCTCCACCCCATGATGATCTCGGGGTAAGTCAGTTTGCTTCTCTACCCGCTTCGCATCCCGGCGTTCTTCGACGACTTCCGGCTTACGCTCATCTTTACGTGGCTCCTTGGGTTTCTCTCGGCGCTGTCGATCTTCCTCCGGGTCATACTCTACTCGAATTTCGTCACCTTTCGGCAGCCGGTACACCTCTGGACGGGCATCTGGACGGGCATCTGGACGTGCTTCCGGCTTCTTGGTCGGCTCGGGAGGGGCATCGCCGCGGGCGGTACGGTTCTTGTCTCGTTGGTCGATGATCTCGACGGGGCTATGCCTATATGACCGGCGTTCGCTGCGATCGCGGCGTTCACGGTCATCCATTTCAATTTTGACAGGCTGATCTACCCGCTCGTCTGGTCGACGGCTGTCTCGAGACTCGCGGGGGTGGTCTCGCCTCTCCCAGGCCTCACTCCGGCGCTCGTCGTGACGTTGAACGTGATCGGCAGAGTCCCTACGGTTAGCCATGGCCACGCCAATGGCCGCGGCCGCGGCCCCAGCACCGGCAATGGCTGTCTCGACGGGGATCCTACCAGGGCTCCTGCCCGTGGGCGTCTGGCGCTTGAAAGTCCGGGGCTCTACATATCTGTCCGCATCATAAACCTTGGATGAGACCGGGACAATGGGCTTAGGTTGCTGCAGGGGAACAGGGGCGGGTCGGGACTGTTGTGGGAGGTCTTGCCTAGACGCGGTCACAGAAGCGCGGTCAAAGTCAAACTTGTCTGGATCCGAAGTTGGCACGGGATACACATGCTGCATCGGCTGCTGCACTGGCTTCTTCTCGGTCTTGGGTGACTGGACTTGCGCGACGGTTTCCTCGTGATGACGGCGGAACGAGCCTGCAGATCGAGGGTCGTCCTGTTCGCCAAAGCCACAGGGGCTCTTGACGGCGCCGCGGAGAGAGTTGTAAGGGCCGAAGAGACGCGGGTCGACGACGGTGTTCTTCCGTCCAGGCGGCTGAATCTGCTCAGGAGGCTCGGCCGAGATCCTAGCAGACTTGGACGGCTTGTCAAAGCCGTAAGCCAAGCCGCCGCCATCTGAGCTGTCGGAACTATCCGTAGACGATTCATCCTCGGACGCGGATTCCCAGTCGTCGTCAGAGGAAGACTCCTGCACTTTCGACGAAGGTCCCGCTTGACTCTTGCCGCCCGCTTTGTGATTGCGGAAGTGACCAAAGGCAGCAGCTGCACCGGCTATACCGGCGGCACCAGCCAGCTGGGACGCACGGGACTTGCCGGCGGCGCGCTTGTCGGATTCATTCTGCCTCCTGGCGATGTCCTGCAACTGGCGGCCAATCTCGAGGATTTCTTCATCGTCGGTCTTGGGCCGCGGCTCAGGCGGCGGTGGTGGTTGCTGACGGACCTCAGTAGGCGCAGGCTCATTCCGATACATGGCGGGACTGGCATAAGCAGAAGCCGCGGGGGTTGGACCCTGGCTCTTGTCGCGTTCAATGTAGCCGCGGCCGTAGGCCAGGTCGGAGTTGACCGAGGACGAAGACGAGTTCGTAGCAAAGAAGATGCGAGCCTTTTGCTTCTTCCTCCGCCGTCGCTCACGCTGCTCCGAGGGGGCCCTCCAAAAAGTGCTAAAGACACCGCCGAACCTTGGAGCCTTGGCCGAAACGTTGAGGAGGGACGACGAAGTGGATGACGAGGCGGACGAACTCGAGCCGCCGCGCGGGCGCGTTCTCGCAGGCTCGGTGTATGCCGATGCTGATGCTTGGGAGCCGGCATATCGATCGCGTTCGGCATATTGTTGGGGGGGTTCAGAATATCTCTCAGCTTGGGCGTATCGCTCGGGTTCTGGGTATCTCTGGGGGTTCCCGTACGATTGTTGCTGTTGGTATTGTTGATGATGATGATGTTGTTGTTGTTGTTGTTGTTGTTGTTGTTGTTGTTGTTGTTGTTCGTATCGCTCAGGTCTCGGAGCGTAGCTTTCATGATCGGGGTATCTTTGGGGTTCGGCGTAGGATTGGGAGTATTGCGACGGAGAGTATGTCTGGGGTTGGTATTGGTATTGTTGCTGCTGTTGCTGCTGCTGCGAATAAGGGTACTGCTGTGGTTGAGCAGACGGGCCTGGCATGCTGGATACAGTGGAGGGGGTGTCGGCGGCGGAGGCAAGCTGTTCGCGAGAATCACGCCGGTCCTTTCTTCGCCGCCTAGAGCTATCCGGGCTCCGGCGACGTGGATCACCACGCATCATGGTTGAAGCGGCGATTGGGACCCCGTGGTGCGCATTTGTCGTGGATTGGTTTGCGCGCGATTGAATGACGGGATAATTAATTGTACGGTTGCTAGATGTATGCGCGGGGTCCTTCAGGTCGGCGCAACGATGTTCGAGGGGCTGTTGCAAGGCTGATTGCGATAATCTGGCGATGTTATTGTTTTGTTTTTCACAGTAAGCAGCGGCCGGGACAAGCCGTGAAGCTCATCCTGGGGGTTCAGAAGATTGGCAAAAAAAGGCCGGGTGGGGGAGGAGGGTGGCTGGGGATCTGTTCTGGGACGATGGGTGGGTGGATGGTTTGGATGGTGGAAGAGAAGGGGTCAGGGTCGCCGGGGGTGGTGCTGGATGGTGCTGGGTGCTGAGTGCTGAAAAAGCAGCTGCAATCTGCACTAACCCAGACTTGTCGGGCCAACCTCGCTGCTCGTAATCGGCCAGGTTCAGGGTCCAGGGTGGGAGGAGCGGAGGAGTCTGCTTGGACAGGCTTGGGGCAAGTTGGAGCCTTTTGGGGGAGGGATGGAGGGGGAGACCTGGGCCTGATGCTGAATCCACTGTAAAAGTTCCAGCAGCACCTCAGTCCGCCGCCCGCGACGGGACAAGGCGAGACGAGGACATGTTCGCTGCGTAAAATTGGCAGCCGGGGACCAGGAGAAGCGAGGAAACAGCCAGGATTGGTTGAAACAAGACCCCCTCCAGGCCTCCGAGCTCAAGCTACCTACAGGTACCTATGTACGGATACTGCTCACTTCCAGGCTCCATTGCTGCAATACTTTGAACCACTGGACGGATATTGCGTCGTGCTGTCTGCCTGTTTTTTCGAGTCTCGACTCTCGACTCCTGTGTACGACAGACGCTGGCCATCACCACATCACAGGTGGCTCGAACCACATCGACCATAAACCCTTCCTCGACCACCACCAGCAACAGCAGCAAAGACGAATCACGAATCCTCGTCACCGAGCAGGCAGCCCCCCGAGTCTCAGACCTCAGATGACAGCACACCTCCCACACTGCCGTCCGCCACACTCGCACACCCACCCACTCGCCGCTCTGATCGGTCAGAAACAGACCAGCTCGCTGAGCCGGTGCCACCGAGTGCCACTCCCGCCCTCCCCTCCAATCCATGTGGGCATCAGCTCTCGACTCGCCCCCTCCATGTCGCCATGTGCAGCTCTCATTCAACTGCACCACCACCACCACAGCTGCGACTTCATTCCTTGCCAACGCATCTTTACCGCCTCTTCCCGATGCTGTCCCTCTCTTTTCTTCTCCCACGACGCTGCCTGTCGCCGGAGACCGCCCTACCCGATTCACTCGTCACCAAAGAGCCGCCGTACACTGCCTGTCTGACCCATCCCACCCTGTCCCGTCGCAATCGCACAACATCATAGCGCCGCCAGGGATCTTCATCGTGCTGCTGCCGCCTACTGCATCTTGCCCTTCCCGGTCACCTGCGGCAACACGTGTTACCACTCTTGCTACCACCTCCTGCGCCCTGGGAGATTACACTCGCCAGCCCAAGGCCACGGCCATGATTCGCACCTCCTCCGTAACTGCTGTGCCCTGTGATTGGCCCTTTGTGTTTGCCACGGCTGCCGCAACATTGGCACGTCGGCTATCACGCCGCCGCGTCTGAAAATATCGACACATGTACCGATTGCTGCACGATTGCAAACGCTGTAGGCGCTTGCCCAATGTCTTTGGCCCATCCTTGAGGCACGAGTCAACTGCCGGTACTAACATCCATCACCTCGTCCTTTAACTTTTGAGTGTGGCACTGCCAAGCACCCCATGGAAGGACAGCAGAGAAAAAATGCATTGTGATTTGAGACATGCCCGTGCCAGCTGGTCGACTCGGACGGCCGTCTTGGTTCGCCGGGATCCACTCGGTCCTCCCGGTGTAGTGTGGGTCATCGGGGATAGGTCCGGCCCGGAGTCGGACATCCCTCGCCGTTCGCGTAGTTCGAATGGCGAAATGAGTTCCACGCCTTGGATTCCCTCAGTTGCTTGGCGAATGGGCTCACTTTTTATGACTTTTCAATTGCACCAATCTGGGTCGATTCCCCCCAACTGCTCGACGACAGTAATAGCTTCATCTGCCAAATAACCGTCAAGCGCAACATCCAGAAGCATGCCTGATACTCGCTCAAGGAGTTTATTGCAAGCATCATCAGACGCTGGTCGTCTTTGCAGAGTTTTGCTGTCTGTTTAAGCAGCCAGAAACAGAAACAGCTTGGTTACAAAAGCGAGGGCAAAAGAGTGCGTCAAAAAACCCTCACGCCTCCGCGAATGTAAGCCAGAATGATACGAATCTCCAGAGAGCGTGTGTCGTGATCTATTCATTATGTGATTGCTCACCGAGCTTTTAAATGTCATATCAATAATTTCTAACATCTATTGGCCTTTGTGGAGGCAGTCCGCTGTCGCCGTTGGTTTCGTATTCAGTTGCTAGCTAAACCTGCAGAGTCAAGTCCGAATTCATCACTCCGTTTGATTTTTATAGCTTCTGCCCCTCTGATTCTCTACGTGCTCAGTATCATTAGCGAGGTTTTCTCCTGGGTAACTCATCTAGTTGTAAGGAAGCCCACATCTTTCGCCCTTACATACAATGTGTTGCCAGAACTGAAGGTGATTTTGTTGGGTTGACTAAGATATCCTGCAATAAACTAGATGCTTTTTTAGATACCCATTTATTAGAATAAAGAAAACGTCACTCATGTACTTGGCTTGATTTGATGTCGAGAGGTACACCGGTCAAAGCGCTAGTTATCACCGCAAGAAATGCTTGGCATGTCACCAACAGCTTCCCGTGATTCGAAGTATAGAAGAATACTAACATTTTCCCTGGAAACTGCTCTGTTTCTTTTACTGACACCCTCGATCAGAAGGAGTGGTGTAGACATCATATTCAAGTCGAGCGTCGTTTTCGACTGCCAGATTCAAGCGCAGCAGTAAACCAGAGGTTGACGCTATTGTTCCTCCATAATTTACATATTCCTGGTTCTTGATTGAGAGGTACATGTCCAATACGTCCACGACAGCCAACAGTCTTACCAACGTGGCGAATAACCTAGAGATGGCCATGACCAACCAGATAGTGATAGCACCCTTCCTTAGAGGACATGCAGCGATCTAAAGCAAAGAGGAGTTAAGCTTTCTGGAAGAAGAGGATATTTCTCCTAGCTGCAAAGCATAGTTACAGTCTCTTTGCCAAGTGACTGTGTCAAAGCCACGTCATTCTACCTATTCCACCCAAGTTTCTCTGCATCTGAAGTGCCTGGCTGACATCAACAGCATGTGGGAATCTCAGAACCGTAGACAGCTTTTCGGTATCAGTCTCAACCCTTAACTCCTCGAGGCAACATCCTAACAGAGCAAGCAAACTCCTCTGACAGAAATTGAACTGTCATCATAGATGGAACATCACTATCAATCAACAGAATCGAAGCTGCGTGCACCCCAGCTCGCTCGTCTATTGCAACGCCTCTCGTGGTCACTAAGGCTGACACCAGAGGGCCTCAGTTATCACCAGTTCGAAATAGATTCATTGTCAACATGCTTCCTCGGGTTCAGTCAGCAAGCTGACACCCCGTAATTGGTGCGGATTACGGCCTGCACGCATGGCATCTGGATAACAATTGCTTCGTACACCTCCTCAGATGGCTCGATAAGACAACAGCTGTGGATATAGCATGCTCTTGAGTTCAACCTGATTATGGTTAAGAAAACAAGAACATATCCACAGTCTCGTCTGCTTGGACGGGTTTACCCCAACAATTTGTCTACAATCGAGCTGACCCTGAAAGGAACTAATCACTCAAGTGCTAGAAATGGTGGATTTCAATCCATAAAACCATGAGTTCATCATGGTTCAGCGAAGAGTGTCAGCTTGCTGTTCTCTATAAGTTTTACCATCATCATGACCAAACCGAATTGGGAGCTCATGTGTACTGCTAGACGTCGAGACAGTTGCCAAGCTTTCCTCAAAGATTATAAACAGAAAATCCATTCGCTATGCATTATGCAGCACATATCAATTGTGGTAGGTCGCATTCGGGCTGCATGTGTCGCCTTCGGCTACTGTCGACTATCGGCAGAAGAGGGGCTTCCCGCCATGGTGCATGCGGGTGGCAAGAGAGAGAGAGAGAGGGGGGGGTCCCGAGGAAACACCAGATGTGGGCTTTGCGGGACAAGAGCGGGACGGGTCGCGGGGATGATTGAACATCTGGGAGCTTTCCAACGCAAAACCGAATGCAAGATGGACTGGTATTCTCCATTTTTTGACGCTGAATCAACCGAAACTGTCTCAGTCGCATATGCTGAGCATTGGAGGCGAGGCCAATCGCCGTTTGTCACTTTAACCAAACTACCTTGGCACCGGCATGCCTTCCCCTCAATTCATCGTCATGAGACGCATGCGTACACCAAAACGTCTTGCGTACAACGCCAACAGGTATCTTGTTCGTCGACAGACTCGACTGATTTGGAAGCACGTCGAGTAGTTGCCGAGGCACCGGAGTCAAGCCGTCTTGACAGTCCAATGAAAATCCCTCCGCCGTCACTTATACGTCCATGGTGGGGGACATTCGTATTGCGTGTGCAAGTTTGTTATAATCTTGGATAACCTTTTCCTCGTGTGACTGGTATCGAGATCTGAGATATATGTCTGAGGAACAGGCCCTCGCGAGCACGAAATGCTACCCCGCTCCCAGACTCACATCTCCCGTGACTTCACTGCCGTATCAACAGCATCTTGCTTGCCAAAATCGTAGTCTCAAGCAGATTTGAAGCATCATGAATCCAGACGCAGAAAAGGTCAGCTACAGCCTCTTCTCCTGTATCGGAACCGGTTTCGCGGCCATTGCCCTCGGGGCACAGCTCAAACGGTGGTATGGAATCGAGGACATCCAGTTCTTTGAGCGTCACAGCTCGCTCGGCGGGACATGGTTCATAAACAAGTATCCAGGTATGAATACACTCCCACGGTGGCGGACTTCGTTTGACTGACACTCATAGGCTGCGCCTGTGACGTTCCGAGCGCGCTGTACAGCATCTCCTTCGCGCCGAACCCCGACTGGACCAAGGTCATGCCCTCTCACTCTGAGCTCTGGGAGTACCTCGACAAGGTGGCCCGCGACTACGACCTCGTGAGGAAGATGGCCTTCGACTCGCCCGTCGAGCGCTGCGAGTGGATCGAGGACCGATCCCGCTGGCGGCTGACCATCCGCCACCGCCAGTCGGACACCACCTACTACCACGAGTCGCAGTTCCTGTTTGCCGCCACCGGCTGCCTCGTCACCCCCCGCGAGATCGACGTGCCGGGCGTGGAGACTTTCAGGGGCGAGGTCGTGCACACGGGCAAGTGGCGCCCGATCGACCTCGAAGGGAAGAAGGTCATCATGTTTGGCAACGGGTGTACGGCTTCCCAGGTCGTGCCGGCCATCGTCCACAAGACGAAGAGCTTGACCCAGGTTGTGCGGACAAAGCACTGGATCATGCCGTCCCTCGACGCCGACGTCCCGCCGTGGGTGCGTCTGGTTCTCAAATGGGTGCCCGCCGTGGCGTGGCTCCAGCGGCTCATGATCTTCTGCGTCGCGGAAAACTCATTTCGAGGTTTCCGCATGACGGACGGGGGCAAGAAGTTCAGGGCCAGCCAGAGGAAGGTGTCGGAGGACTACATGAGGGCCGCGGCGCCCGCAAAGTACCATGACATGCTGATACCCGACTTCGAGGTCAACTGCAAGAGACGAATCTTTGACCCGGGCTACCTCCAGAGCATACATGCCGACAACTTCGACCTGACGGATGAGAAGGTTGTCGAGATCACGCCCGACGGTGTCAGAACGGCCAACGGCTTCATCGAGGCCGACGTGCTCATCTTTGCAACCGGCTATCACACCAACCAGTTCGCAGCAGGCATCGACGTCCGTGGCCGCGGCGGCGAGACTCTCGAGTCGCGCTGGGAGGCTCTCGGGGGAGAGGGGGCGTACAACACCACGGCCATGAGCGGGTTTCCAAACTTTTTCTTCCTTCTCGGTGAGTCGCTTCGAGACGACGAGGCCCAGCAAACTGATAATGACGTTGATAACAGGCCCCAATTCCGTCACAGGACACACGTCCACCGTCATGGCTCTGGAAAACTGCATCAACTACGCCTTGCGTGTCATCAAGCCTGTCCTGAAAGGACGGTCGGCCACCGCGATGATCAAGAGCGATGCCGAACAACGCTACGTCGACGACATCCAAGACGCCTTGCAGAAGACGGTCTGGAACACGGGATGCGGCGCTTGGTACACCAAGACCTCCAGAGACGGCACCAAGAGATGGAACGCGATGGGTTACCCGTACTCTCAGCCGCACTTCTGGTATCGCTGTCTCTTCCCCGTCTGGTCGGACTGGCAATACAGTGTAAGTGGAGTTCCCAGACGCATCATGTGTGGCTATTTTGAAGCATGCAAAACTGACTACTCCAGGGACGAGCCGCTTATGCTTCGCAGATTCATACCCAAGGTTCTGGCGTCTGGATCACGGCGGTACTGGTTGCCATCGTGACCCTCGCCGTCCTGGGCTTTCTCGGGAGAGACTGGCTTCGTGGGATCGTGCCAGACCTGTCGGCGGCAACTCGAGGTTCTGCTGCGTTTGTGCCTAATTATCTGTGAAGAGAGCTATGGTGTCTTCATTGTTTGACAATGGATACAGATCCTGAAAGAGGTCTCAGGCGAGTAGGTCAGTAAATAATTCAGAAGCTACCGTAGGTCCAACTCGATCTACGTAAATGTCTGTCACACTCGTATTCATCTAAGTCGGCATCGGAACCATATCAAATTGCTTGATTCCCAGGTTGCCACAGATCGTCGAAGTGCAGACAAGTCGGAACTGCTTGCTACTACTCTCGCGTGGTGTGTGATGCTTTTAGCTCCAATCTCGATCTCGGATGCTTACCGTGAGATGGATCCAAACCAGAATGCCGTCTCCGACCACTCACATTGTCTAGTGAATCCCAGGTGCTTCGCCGAGACACTACACGACCAACAAGAGCCATCGAAAGCAGGGCGCAAACCTCTGACGGCGGACCGAGCAGCTCAATGGGCAGGCGCCGGCTCTCTGTCCTACTGTCCACCGGAGGACATGGCATGATTTCTCACGTCGTCAGGCATTGAGAGACGATGCTTCCAGCGCCACGTTGTGGCGTCTGTAACTAGCGGCAACATACTGAAAGGGCAGGGAAAACAGACGTTGGTCCGCGACAAACAAGAATGCTCAATCATAATAGTCTGCCAATCTAAAGGTGAAGGCATGAAACCAGTCGGACGACATTGGAGCCTTTCAGCCAGCCTCGCCGTGTCGGGTGTAGTAGGATCGGGAGTAGCCCCCGTGGGCTGACAGGTCTCTGATTTGCTAGTCGAACTTTTTCCTAGTAGATATAACACCTGCCGGCATTGGGCAAAAGGATGCAAAGGGTGAAAGATGACGAGCAGCGCCCGACATTGGCAGGGGTGGAATTCTGGAGGCGCCGCTGAGGCGTCCGGAGTGTCTCAACCGCACGCGAAGAGAATTGGCCGATGGTGAGGCTCGAAGCAGCAGCAGTTGATGGGCGGTCTTCATGTTGACAACACCGAAGAGAAGGATATGGCTAGCGATGGAAGGCGAGTGACGTGATGCGTCCTCTGGAGAAGATGGATTGGCCACTGCGGGATCATCGCCGATACGGACGTGGCGGTTGGCTCGTCAAGCGCGCATCATTCTTCGGTTCCTCAGTTCGCCGCTCAGAGTTCGCCTGCCTGCCCGCCTGTGGACAGGATGATTAATGACGATGAGCGGCCGAGAGCTGGAGGGGGTTCAGGTGAGCCCAGACTCGTGCTGTGGCAGGCACTGGGAGGGATGGGATCGGCGACGCAAGTGGATGTGGCCAATGGGAGGCGCAAGGCAAGGGGACAGGTCGAGCTGTGATTAGGTCGTGGCTCAGCTGACGCAGCGTCTTTGGGGGCCAGCAAGCGTCGAGGTTGTGTTTCTTTCATCTTCTCCCTCCAATGTTTCCAGTTACATTTTCCAGTTTCCAAGGCTGAAGGCGAGGTGCTTGGACTTTGGAGAGCGGAAGATGACGAATGAAAGGCGGCAGGGCGGGATACTGCTCAGCACGACGGCGGTCGCAAGGTGTCCCAATAATGTGGTTGGCTGACGATGCTGTGCCGAACTGGGAGCGCAAACCAACCCAGGGACAATAGTCCTGTTTTTATGGGCGGATGCTGCGTATGGCACGACCTCATGGCCAACCGATCGAGAGATCGGGCAACGGAAGACGGACGGAGGGCTGTCGCCTTGGTTCACAAGAATGCCCGGCACCGCGGACGCAGTAGCTGTCGAAGCATGAGGAGAAAAGGGAAGCGAAAGAGTCAGCCACAAGGACGTAAGTAAGGTACTAGACGGTAGCATCGCATCGCATCGCCTGGGAGAAGTGCCGCAAGGACAGTTCCCAGTTCAGGCGACTTGCCAGCCTCAGGGGTGACGAAAAGGGCTCTAGCTCCTCAAACTAGAGAAATTGACGACCGAATGAGGACGGAACTGGCTCCGAATGATGCGTCGCGAGTTGAAGAGCTGACAAAAGCTGAGGTACGCAGTACCTGGGCATTTGAGGTGCCATCGATTGGTCGGCTACCCTGTCCCTCGGCCGTCTCTTCTTCTCGGTACCTTGTCTTTGGCTGGGCGATTTGTTTGGAGCATGGGCTTGGTTGCTTAGGTTGACAACACGCGCGAGGCAACAGGCGGAGGTTTGCAACGCATGCGGCGGGAATCTCAACGTCCGGCGTGGATCGACAGGCCCAGCCATGTGTGACTTGGTGAGGATTGGCCCGGGCAAGAGGGACGGACGGGATGCCGGCGGGCTTCACGTGTGGGCGCGCGTTTACCGCAGGCGATGCTGGAGTGTTAATTGAGTTGCGGGTGGGCGAAGCTTGGGCTCGCAGTTCGCTCCATGCGTCGTGGGATGGCCGACTCGAAGAGATGAAAGAGATGCGGCGATGACTTCATGGTAAGTAGACAGACGAGGGGCGTTCGTACAGGTACTCAGTCGATACCTGCTGCACGCCGTACAGAAGGTTCAATTTGATCTGAGCTGGATGTCGATGCCTCTGGTCGCAGACAACCATTGTGCAATAAGGCAGGGCAGGGCGAGGCGAGGAAGTGGGAAGTGAGGCACAGCAAACAAGGCTCGGGAGCAAGCAGAGAGGGCGTTCGAGGCTGATTACCACCCAAGCCAAGGTGCCTTGGGTCCGCTGTTCGTGTTGACTGCCCGGGCATACTTTGTGAGTTATTGTTGTCCGGTGGCTGTGGCTAGGTATTGTTTAGTGTTGTGGTTCCATTGCCAGAGACTATCCTATCCGTCCGTATCGCATGACTGAAGCAAGCAGAAGCAACGAGTTGTTTCTCAACAGTTGATAGCTAGCTCTTCGTAGCTTTACTACCTAGGGAGCTAAGCATTGCAGGCGTATTCGTACGGCGAATGGGGTTGAGCCGTGGGTGGTGATCATCAACGCAGTGCAGCGTCTTTGGGGTGCAATTTGAGGTGGGAAAAAAAGACCTCGCATGCTGGGGATGGCATTTGCGCCGCGGATCTTGCGTAAGGTACTACCTAAGGTAAGGTGCCTGCCTGTCTGTACTTGGCGGGAACGGGACTGCTGAGTGTGAGTGACCTCGGCTTCCTCAGCGGGGAGACGGGCGGGCGGTACGTGTGGGCAGTACAGAGTACCTCACCAACCTACCTACCTTACCTTACCTCACAACCATGTGCACCATGGATGCAAAGCCACGTAGGTTTACGAGGTGTGAGAATGGAACCTTGGCGCGCGACAGTCACCTCAGCATTCGGTTCAGGACGGGAAGGGTGAGGTGGAAAGGCAGGGCAGGTTCACGGTGCATTCAGGCCGGAGCGGGTGGGACGGGGTGAGGTGGAGATGGAGACGGAAACAGTGTCCCAAGAAAGCAGCAGCGTCCAGCACCAGCACCAGCACCAGCATCACCTAGCACCGGTGCAGCACAGGTCTGCGAGAGGCTGGGGCTCTGGCTCTGCACAGCCACCGCGGGGGCCATCAAGCCCTGTTTAGCCCCCCCCTCCTCGGGCCCCCCTCAGGCTCCGTTTCCTCAGGGAAGCAGCACTTGAATTTCCAGACCAAGAAACCCGTGTCATATTCCAGGTTTTTTTTTTTTTTTTTTTTTTTTTTTTTTGTCCCCCTCTTCTTAATTCTCTGCCTCTCAAGGTGCTGCCCGGGTGTCGAGGCGAGACGGATTCCACAGCTGTGGCGTCGCAGGCTGGAACTCGCGAGAGAACCTAAAGTGCATCGTGGCGCAACCTGGAGGAAATGCGGCGGACGAGTGTGTAAGCCCGTACTCCGTGCTCCGTATTCCGCAACCCATCTATCCGCCTGGCCGACTTGCGCCCGCGTTGTTTACATACCTATCCCTCCATGAGCTGCCTACCAGACCTACCTGGTAAGGTACCTACGGAGATAGTTGTCGCCGTAGGAAGCCTGCCTGCCTGCCTGCCTACCTACCTTCCCTACCAAAGGCATCTGACCAAGTACGTTAGCCTTTCCGGCGCTGTCAGGTACGGCAGGGCATGGCAAGGTAGGTACCCAGCGTCGCCCGTCGCGTGTGGAGGGAGGTACCTGGCTGCTGGGCCTGGCTGCTGGGCAGCTTGGGTTCCCGGCGGCGGGAATACTGGGCCGAATGGCGGGTTGTGTTCACACTCTCAGCAGCTCCCACCCCCGTTCAATCGCCAGCTGCTGCGGCCCTCTGCAGTTCATCCACATCCGCACCTCACTTGCTCCACCCGTCCGTCATCGTCCACCACCCACCGGGCTCACACTACCTATACCTTGCAGGTACCTGGCTTACCTAAGGCACGTAGCCACACTGTGCTCTTGTCCCCGGTACGTTCCCCCCCTCCGCCGTCAAAGCCGGAGCTGTCTTACGCAGCCCACCTACGTATGTACCTCCTCCATGGAACCTCAGCGAAAAGTGACCCGCCCTCCTCTGCTGTGGCCGAGGGCCTGTGGCTGTTCGCGGGCACCATCGCACCGCATCATAGGTCAGCTCCTGGCCGGGCCAAAGTCCATGTACCTGCCACACCTGCCTCCCTCCTCCAGGTACCTAGGTATGCCTACCTACCTACCTTACTTACCTCCCTCACCTAGGGTACCCGGGGACACCACACACACACACACACGCACACTCTCACTTTCGGCCCTCTGCCTCACCTCTGCTCCCCGTCCAGTCTCTTTCTTGTGTTGCTGATGCTTGCTGCTGCTCTGCTGCTCTGCTGCACCCGCCGCGCCGCCGCCGCCGACGCCCTCCACCCCATTCCCTTTTCCTCCAGCTCCTGCCACACCTCGAATTCAGTCTTCTTTTTCCCTCCCTTCCTCAACATCACATTCGCCTCCTCAGTCTTTTTGTCGTCACTGCACCCACGGGAATACACGCGCATCCGGGTTTTTCCCAAAAACTTATTCCATCCACGACCTTGCTGCACCAGCCTCACGACTTCAATCCACCTGCTGCTCCCGCCACATTCCACCGTGACTCGTCCGCCCGTCCCGTCATATTCGGGGTCCTGAACCCGTCTAGAAGCAAAAGACATCCGCCACACGTGGCTGAATAACCCGAAGCTCCCATGAATCCTCGTTGACCATCAACAACAAACCACCACCACCTCGCGATACGCCCTCCCGAATCTCCTTTCCAACACTCAATTAGCCTGTTTGATGATTGAGCCCGCCCATGGCCTCGGATAACGGTCCCATCGCGACCGAAGCCCCTCTTCTGGCTGCGTCCGCTCCTGTCGCATCGGACGCATTCGTGCTCGGAGGAGATCCCGCTCGCTCAAAGTCTCTCAAGAGAGCTCGCGAGACCACCCCGACCTCCCCTACGTCTGCTGCCGTCGACCCCGTCGCCGATCCCGCCGCTGCCGCTCCTGTCATCGCGCCCTTCGACTTTCCTTCGCCCACCAAATCCGCCCGCTTTGCCCTGGCTTCCTCACGCCGCTCCCCGACGCCCTTGACAGCTGCCGCCGCCCTCGAAGCTCTCGACGAAGAGCGAAGACGGGAACAGCGCCTGAACCCTCCCGGCTCCAGCGACAACCCGGGCCACTCGGTTCTCTCTGTTCTCGCCGGCAGTGTCGCCGCCATGAGTCGTCCGGACGACGCGCCCCAGGCGCCCACAGCTTCCATGGAGGCCTCTACCAAGGAACCCCAAACCGTCTCGATACCGCAACCCAACAATGCGCCCGCAGAGAACGCGGAGATCAGCCCGCAGAGCGCAACAAGTGTCGCGAGCATAGCTGGCGCGTTGGTGACGGCCAGCCCGGGTCCCATGGAGGTCGACCACAAGACCAACGAGCAGCCCCAACAGCAGCAGCAGTCTCAGCCTCAGCTGCAGGCTACCCCCCAACCGCCGCACCCGGCCACTGCCCAAGAAGACAAGACCACCCCCGGATCGCTATCCTACCCCGGGTCGCTTCAAGCCGCGGCCATGATGCCCGCACCGCCGGCGCGCGGTATGAGCTTTCCCATGCCGTCGCCCGGTCACGAATCCCCTACTCAGTCTTCCGGCAAGAAGCACAAATGCCCTTTCTGCGACACCGAGTTCACGCGCCACCATAACCTGAAGAGCCATCTACTCACCCACAGTCAGGAAAAGCCGTACATTTGCCAGGAATGCTCGATGCGCTTCCGCCGTCTTCACGATTTGAAGCGCCACAGCAAACTCCACACCGGCGAAAAGCCCCATGTGTGCCCCAAGTGCGATCGCAAGTTCGCTCGCGGCGACGCGCTGGCCAGGCACAGCAAAGGCGCAGGCGGATGCGCCGGCCGCCGATCAAGTATGGGCAGCTTCGCCGAGACGGACGACATGGACGGGCCGAGCATGGCCGATGGTGACGACTCAATGGCCGGCGTGGTCTACGGAAACGAGGAAGACATGACGGAAGAAGAAAGACGCCTGAGCTTGCCCAGCATCAAGGCTCAGCACGTAGCAGGACAGGGCAATATGGAAGGGTATGCCCCTCACTCCCGGACATATCCCCCGGCAGGCCCACGGCCCGGAACGACCGGCGGACTGTATCCGCCGAACGTCGACCGCGGCGCATCAAGTACCAACACATCCCCAAGCATGCCGAACAGCATTGCCGGAGGCCACACGCCGAACACGAGCGTGTCTTCCATGCCCGTAAGTGGTGGTTCCATCTACTCGCAAAGTGGCATGACAGAGAGTCCAAAGCCTTTGAGCCCTGGAACTGCACATGACACGGCCAACATTGCGAGGCAGCGATCTCCAAGTCTCACACAGCAATTCCAGCAGCAACAATTCGGCCGCAGGCCCTCGGAGAGGAACACCTCCCCAGGTTCGTACTCCTCGACACCCTCCACTCTGCTGACTCTCAATGTGTGTACTGACCGGCTTCAAAGTTTTTGCTGCTCCGGCTGGGGCCCACCCCCGCGGCGCTGGAAGCGGGACAGAGAACGGCAACAACATGTTCGCCACGGATCCCGGCCTCTGGGCGTACGTGCAGAACCTGGAGGAGAAAGTCAAACAATTGTCGGATAAGATCACGGCATTCGAAAAGGCGGACACCGCCAAGCAGGCACAGATTGGGCTGCTCACGAGCGAGGTCACTGGCTTGAAGAAGCAGCTGGAGGCTCGTGAGGCCGAAACGACCGAGGTCAAGGCGTAATCCAGACACAAGCAAGTGGCTCCTACACGCCATTCACTACAACCTATCACCGATGTAACAACGACGACATGTTATTGGCGGGAGAGGATCAGAGGAAGCCTCACCTGGCGGCTGGAGGATAAATTGGCGTTTTTCACTCATTGTCGGCGTCTCGATTTCTCATCTCTCTTTTTTACTCCCATTACTTCTGCCTCTCTGACCCATATTATTTGCGGGACAACCTGTCCGGGGTGGGAGGCGTTTTTATTTTCCTGGGGCACTGGCAGAAGTGCAACGGCGGACCTCGACACGAAAAGTTTTTGGTTTCCCCTCGGCCGCATCTCGCAGTCAGGCATGTCGCAGAAGTATGCCTGGCGCTCACCGCGGTAATTCCAATTCCGGTTCTGGTCGTTTCTCTGGAGGCAAATCGGCGGTAGGGGTTTCCCCCTCATGTATTATAGCGTTCGTTGCAGAGTTTAGGCCACATGGTCAGTCCTCCCCGAAAAGGAGGCAAATAGTGCAATTTACATGCCGGGTAGATAAACATGTTTAAGCAGTCTGCAAGTGCCCACCCTCGTACTCGCGTTTGTATGTCTTTGGGTCGCCTCAGCGATGGGTGAGGCTGCCCATGATGCGATTCGTGTACACCCCGTCAGGCCCAGCTTGGACGGTGACTCGAGGAGTTTCTTGCCAAGACGATGATCTCGATAGGATGACGCCTGTTCACCTTTCGGCAGCCCCTTCTGTCGCCACGTGTGACTGAAGGCGCGTTCTGTAGTCTCTTCGTTCTACATGTTTCTTCATACCCCCCTTTTCTAGTAGATCGTCCTCGTCGTTCGCCATTGGGTTGTCATGTCAAAGATCACTGCACAATTAGACGACGATGATCATGTAGTACCATGTCGTTTTCTAGGGTGGAATCAATCTATCGACTTGTAAGATCTGACTGACTCTAGAGGCCGGGACATCCAGACCGAAGACTCGACAGTAGCGTGTGTGTGTCACCTACCTCGTCGACTTTGCATCTGTCCTTCAAATCCATGCGGAGTTATTTCTCCTTTTTGGTTTCGAGATCGGGTTCCCTAGATTGAAGCGCAGATGGCTCAATAGAGACGTTTAGCAGTAGATTGCAGTAAGAACGGCCAGCCCAAGGTTTTCCGTCCGTCTACCGGGCAGCTTGCGTTGCGAGAAGAAATATCTGAAGTACACTGAGGCCGGCACAAATACACAGCGCTCTCATAAATCGTCAGAATCCATGGTCAACAGACGTTGCTGGTTCTGCCTTTTTCGCAAAGCAGCTCGTGTCTTGACGTGATATTAAGCCGAGTGAGTTGCCATTAGGTGAACAACTTTGAATATATATGGAACTTCCGTGCAGTTTACGTCAAGTTCATGTGGCTACTACTTCAGCAAAAGGCTCTCGGCCGTTGCCAAGGTGCTAAGGAGTTTATCACAGGCTGTACGGATACGACGGTATGACAATGAAATTCTCAGTCGGGAAAGGAGTGGCTCCAAGATTACCGTAGAGCTCAAGTCAAGGCCATCACTCAGAGACGCATATTCGGAACCATGCAGCCGGGACACGATGTCCGATGCGGACGAGTGCGTCAAGGATGATATCCAACACTTGAACGCCACCAGATGATTGAACTTTGAAAAGCAGCCGGGAGAGTGGTCGTTCAGAGATGGACCACGATACTCGACCCTCAGACACACGAGAACTCTAGACCCAGACCACCCTCTAGGCGCTGTGGAACCCCATAGTTCACGGTGTACCGCAAAGAACTCGACACACCAGTTCTAGCCCGTGATCCAGTCCTGCGCTTCCGGCTCAATATTGGTTAGCGACGGGGGTGACTGCTAGGCCTCACCAACTATCGATTTGGCAGGGTCCTTCAACAGGCAAACGCCATGGAGAATCTGCCACCGGCGCGGGCGTTGGTTCTCAAAAGGCACAGGCCCGCAATGGTGCTGTCCCTTTGGGCCCGATGTGCCATGCCGAGGAATCGTGAAATTCATCGTGGCAAATGAGACAGAAAGTGTGGCTCACCCACACACCAGCGACGCCTCAAGTAGAACAATCTTCCACAACGGCAAATCGGGGCTCTCTCCATCAGGTGCGGTCTAGCGTTCGCCAACTTGTCGTGAATGCCCCAATCCACCAACAACGCCTCATTGCACATTGGACTGTCACGACTTGCCCAAGAGCAGCGGCAGCCACATCCCAGAGAAGTCAACAACATGAGATGCTGTTTCTCGCAGAACCGGGAGATGAAATGGAATGCCGCCCTGCAAACTCTAGATGCCGTGACACAATGGTAAACAATGGAGGTTCTCCACTCGGCATCATCGTCAATCGTAGATCATGAGCTCGAGCGACAACATTGTGTAGCTTGGCGAAACGTCGCAAATCGCATCATGTTATGTGACCACTTGAGTCATCAGGCCATGCGCGCGGCAAGATTAACAGAAAAGAAACAAAAAGAAAAAAACACGGAAAATAAAAATAAGGCAGTTGCGCAAGAAATAATTGGCAGCGACAATGGAACGCAGCTTGGCCAGATGCGGGTAGCTAAGCCATGTCTCGATGACGGCCATCCGTCACGGAAGAGGAGAGGGGACGCCGCCCATGATTCAAGTGCCGCAACAGTCATTCTTGGTACCTGAACATCACACCCTGATTCTGCACAATGTCTCGAAGCAAAACAACGGTGGTCCCGTCCCGCGAGGCTCAGAAGGCCAGACACAGCAAGGAGGGGTTGGACGGCTGGGCGGAGCGCGGCCAAACAATCGAGACCTGACGAGCGGTGCTATGGAATGCGACCGCGGTCTGCGAATTCGCCGTCGCGGACGAGGGCTCCGTGGCGTCGCGGGCAAGTGGTGTTGTTTTTCAAGTTCGCGATGGCATGGATCGGAGACCCTCGAGGAATGGCTCTGTCTTGGGAGGCGTGCGCCATTGGTAAAGCCAAGAGAGAACGAGGCCTCGTCCTTTACCTCCCGGTATCCCGCCACTACGGGCCGACTGAGCAGTTTGTCTGTACAAAGAAATCTCAGCTTCGTCGTCGGCCAGCAGTGGACGCATCTGAGCATCTTGACGTAAAGTGGGAGAATTGAGGGCATCGTCGCCAACGCCGACATGTTACGCAAGCCCGCCAGATACGGCATTGTAAAGCCGATGAGGGGGAGGGCCTTGGTCGGACAAGGCCTTAAAGCATGACTCTCTGCCACGGGCCTTTAGAAGGCCTTTCAAAGGGCTTCCCTGTCGTGAGCGACGCAGCTTGCAGGCCAGGACCCAGAAGGCTGTCGATGTTTCAACGTTTCAGGTGGAAAGATACTGCTTGTTAGTGGTTGCACAGCCTTTTGCTTTTTACCTTAGCGCAGATCGATCGTATCCTCCGAAATTGGGGTGGATTTGCGGACGTCATGGTTGAAATGAGATTTAAGAAATCGCACGGTCGAAGACGCACAGCCCAAGGAATATATGCGGACGGGTAGGGGTCTCCTGCGCGGATTCAGGTACGCAGATACGTCCTAAATGAGATTGGCCAGCACGCGTCTTTTTTTCTTTCCTGCTCTCTTTTCCTCTCAAATTCTTGTCAATGTCTCGGTCCATGGATGTGTATTGTGGTCGTGACCAAAGCTTGATTGGATATCCATGTTTTATTGTTCGATGCCTTGGCGCCAGCAAACCTGCTGCGGCAAAGAGAAGACGACGGCGATTTGACGGGAGGTAAAATCAGAAGCAATGGAAGCAGACGCTTGAGAAAATCCAGAGCAAATGAGGTGTGGCAGACAACAGAGACGACTCTCAGGCAACGGGCGACTACCGAAGCCCTCGGCTTGGTCACCTAATGAGTTGATTTCCCTTGGCTGATCGCTCGGCCCGTCTGTAGCTGTTAAGGCAAGGTATTTCTGGTGGCTTTCATTGTTATTGCCCAGGTGTCTGTGGCTTCTCCTTCTTCAGCGTTCTGGAGAAACATGCTGGGCACCCGCTGGCGAAATGACTGACAGGCGCGGCCGATAAGCCGAAATCTCTCCTGTTCCCCACCCCTTTATTTTTGTGGACAACCCGGGGCTTCTGGGAATTGAATATTGGATATCGGGACATTGGGTGACAGACGCCGGCGCAACTGATGAGATTGTGTCATTGATTGGTTATTTGGTGGGGTATGTGAGGAATCGTCGTAGACTCCGACCTGAGTTCAAATGAGCGAGCGAGACCGCCGCAGTCGGCCCAGGCTAGCAAGATCTGCAGGCCATCGTGTTTGTGCATCATCTGGACGGGCTCAGGACATTTGCTGCCTGTGGCAGGAAACGTATTAGTGCAAAAGAGGACAGAATAGCAACACCGGTCAGCCAGTGTCTTTTGCACGACGCGGACATGTGCATGGATATGCACGTGCATTGAGCGAGGGCAAGGCATCGCCAATCTGACGGATCTCGAACCCATCCATGGCCTGTGGCGCTCGTCAACAGACTGATGAGAAAGTGTCTCCTGACGGTGAACGATTCACGAATAGGGGTGGCCATGGCCCAGGACAACAGTCGTTCCTGCGCCGATGGTCAATGGTCAACGGCTACGTCGCTTAGAGCCGAGCCTCGTATGAGCACTTGGCGGCTAGCGCACGGTAGCTGCAGCAGAGCGTGGAGAGGAGCCGGGCTCGAACAATGGAAGATAAAAAAAGACCCATCAAAAAGGGAACCACGGTCGAGTGGGCTGGCTCAAGAAGGCATAGGTTCCTGGGGAACAACAATGCTATTCCCTCCAGATGGAGATTGGGAGGTGACGACGACAACGGCTGCCGCGACGACGACGACAACAGCGACGGGCGACGACGACATGAAAGCGCGAGGGTGACAGGTGTGCTAAAAGGCTCGATTGGTGATGGCGGCTGGGAAAGATTGATTGCTGAGGAGCATCGAGATTTGACCAAGGCCAATTGCTGGTCAGCGACGGGCAAGGATGGATTTACCTCCCCCAGGGATCTCTAATTAGGCCAAGCGAATCTGATTCGACCGCT